GCCTCACCTCAATACCCAAGGAATGGAGTCAGCCTTTATGGACTAAGACCTCTGAAACCATGAGCCCTTAAATAAACTTTTCCTCCCTTACAATTGTTCTGGTTGAGTCCTTTCAGTCACAGCAAAAAACAAAACAAAACAAACAAACAAAAAAAAAACCTGACTAATACAATTTGTATAATGTGTTGTTGTTTGTTTGTTTGTTTGTTTGTTTTGGAGGGGGAGTACCAGGGATTGAACTCAGGAGCACTCATCCACTGAGCCACATCCCCAGCCCTATTTTGTATTTTATTTAAAAATAGGCCTAACCACTGAGTTGGTTAGGCCTCACTTTTGCTGAGGCTGACTTTGAACTCATGATCCTCCTGCCTCAGCCTCCAGAGCTACTGGCATTACAGGCATGCGCCACCACTTGTATAATGTTGAAATCAACAAAATAGAGACAATTATTATAAAATCCCTTTTCTATATTTGGAAGTTTTCCCTTTCTGATAATGACCTTGTTGTGGCACATTAGAAATAAATCACCGGGTCAGTCTTGAAGCAAGACATGGAACTATTTGTCGGCGGGTCGAAAGGGCAGTAACCAAGTCACCTCTGCAAACTTCAACCCTTTGCAGAAGGTAGGGTACATTTTTATAGCTAAAAAAATATAAGCTACCAGTAAGTCAAAACCATAGCAACGTAGGAAGTGGGTCATTCTGACCCACTTCGGGGTACAGTACACTGCCCAAGAAAAATGGGAACTAAAAAAAGAACATCTTATAAATATATTGCTTAATAATACATTGTATAAGAATACCAGGAACTTTTTCAACTGCTATGTTTTGCCAAATAGGGTGTACTTAGCAGGAGGTAGGTTACATAGGCTGGGTTTTCTCATGGGAGAAGTATTTCTCATAGGAAATGGATTCTCAGGGTAAAATGGAGGTTGTCTGGTTAAGGCACATATAGTTTGGCCCATAACAACCTTTCGTTTTACCTTGGGGGGACTACTCCTGTGCTGTTTGATCAGGTTCTTTGGGGCTTTCAATCAAGACTCACCCATTGAGTCAAATTCAGGTGTGGGCACATGGCTGAAGACAGGCCAAGCCGTTTCTCTTGGGAATTTAAATATTGGTTGCTGTTTTGTTTGTGTTTTGTTTGTTTGAACCCAGGATCTCACACATGCTAGGCAAATGTTCTACCATCGCACTTCACCTCCAGCCCAGGAATTTGAATCTCAGAAACCCTGGGCACTAGAGGCATTTATAAATGAGTCATCCAAGACAGCACCTTAAAAGGCCTCTCATGTGTTTCTGTAGCTGTTGGCCAATGTGTTTCCCTGGTTCCTATCCTGGTCAGCCTCCTGGTCTTTCAGTTTCTTTTATGTATCTTTCCACTAAATTCCTTGGGTTTTGTGGGGGAAGGTTGTCTGTTTTGCAGTACCAGGGACTGAAACAGGGGTGCCCTATCACTAAGTTACATTCCCAGCCCTTTTTTATTTTTTATTTTATTCTTTGAGATCTCAACAAGTTGTCCAGATTGGTCTCCAACTTGTGATCCTCCTGCCTCAACCTCTGAAGTAGCTGGGATTACAGGCATTCACCACCATGCCTGATCTCAACATTAAGTACACAAAGGAACCATTTGGAATGTTAAAAAAAGATACTGATGAACTGGGGTTGTGGCTCAGTGGTAAAGCACTTGCCTCACATGTGTGAGGCACTGGGTTCCATTTTCAGCACCTCCTATAAATAAATTAATAAAATAAAGGTCCATCAACAACTAAAAAAAAAAAAAAATTTAAAGATACTGATGACTGGTCCTACTTCCAGAGATTGGTTTAATTGGTCAGATGTGTGAGTTGGGCATGAAAATTATTAAAAGTTCCCCCGGGTGATTCTAACACACAAAGTTTAGAAGCAGGAAGCCCTGGGTTCGATCCCCAGCACCAAAAAAACAAAACAAAACCAAAAAAAAACACTGAATGAGCCTGTAAACACATAGTATTTGACCTACATTATAGTGGCCTGTACAGTATATTTTACATTTTGAGAATTATTTTTCAAATTTAACAATTCATGAGTTTCATATGCCCCAAATCCTCCACATTTGTCTGTTGGAATATCCTACACACAGTAGGACACTATTTAACTGGGCCGAAGTGCACCTTACATGGCATTTCCCTGTACTTCACCCCTCAACTTCACCACCCTCTCACCCTCCCCACTGTCCCACAGTTCAGGGCTAATGACAGTTGCCGTTTATCATCCTGTTCCCACTGTGGGTTTTCTTACATCAGCACTAAGAAAAAAGTGAAATGACACTTAATGCTGTCTTCAGCAACAGCTGGAAAGAAAAAGCCAAGTGGGCTGGGGATGTGGCTTAAGTGGTAGCGCGCTCTCCTGGCATGCGTGCGGCCGGGTTCGATCCTCAGCACCACATACAAACAAACATGTTGTGTCTGCCGAAAACTGAAAAACAAATATTAAAAATTCTCTCTCTCTCTCTCTCTCTCTCTTTAAAAAAAAGAAAAGAAAAGAAAAAGCCAAGAAGGCCAAGATTTTGGTAGGGCCTGCCACTCATTCCCAACACCTGCCTGAACCCCACAGCACTGGGGCATGTACCCTGGATTTAAACCCATCCATGTTTTCCCACCCCAAGCACCAATGCATCATAGCTCATAGAGCAAAGAGTTGAGAAGTGAGAAACCCCAATTCAATTATCCTAATAGTTACATAGCTCTTCACATCAAAACTATATAATATAGCAAGACAAAGGAAGCATTCAGTGGCACCCAAGGCCAGTTCCAGAATTTAGAAAATGCAGGAAGTTTGACAAGTTTGTATCCATTATAAGGGACTATGGGGCCTGGAGACAAACCAGACCTGTAAGGTACAAAAAATGCTTAACTTGGAGTTTTTTAGGAAAAAAAGAAAAAAAAATGAAGATTGCAATCTTAGGGGCAAGTTACTGGCCCTGCTCAGTCCTGCTGAGCAGGAGTCTACCTGATTCACCTTTTAAGCTTCTCAGGCATTGTTGCCTTTCTCCTCCAGCCTCTGGGTCTGTCCAGAAGTCCCCTCTGCCTGCTCCACTCTTCCTCTCTTTGCTGAGACAACTCTTCACCTATTGGGGCTCAAGGATCAGCCCCAAGGTCGAGATAAGGCCACTCCAGTCACTGTTAGGGGTTTGAGGAGGTCTCTCCAGGGCAGAGGAGACCTCTACTCAGAACTTCCAGCCTCTAGAACTTAAGGACTCATCAAATTTTAGAAAGTGAAAGGCGAGAGCCGGATACAGCATTGGTGTACTCCTGTAATCCCAGCAACTCAGGAGGCTGGGGCAGGAGGATGGCGAGTTGGAGACTAGCCTTGGGAGCTTGGAATTTAATCCAAGGATGCTGAGTACATCCCAACTATTCGGGAAGCAAGAAGATCACAGGTTCAAAGTCAGTCTGAACAGTTTAGCAGATTCTGTTTCAAAATTTAAAAAATAAATAAATAAAAGGGAACTAGGTATGTAGCTCACTGGCAGAGCGCCCCCCAACCCTGTTCAATCTCCAATGCCAAAAAATAAATTAATTAAATTAAACTAAAAAGGGAAAGGTGAAGATAGACATTCTCAGAGCAGAATGTGAACCAGAGACCTGGGTCTCTGGCCCTTCTTCTAAAGGAAATTTGGTGAAAAGTGAGGATGTGAAGGTGTGTGAGCACAGCTCCAGCCTCATAAACCCAATTCTTTGATCCTGATTCACAGATCTTTTTTTTTTTTAAGAGAGAGAGAGAGAACTTTTTAATATTTATTTTTTAGTTTTTTTGGCAGACATACATTTTTGTTTATATGTGGTGCTGAGGATAGAACCCAGGCCGCACGCATGCCAGGCGAATGCCCTACCGCTTGAGCCACATCCCCAGCCCCTGATTCACAGAACTTTTTGGCAAAGATTCGGGTCCTCTCTAGGATTTTCAGATTGACATAGTGTTCTCTATCTAAATAATGTTTGAAATGTGCCATGCTCAATTATAGGTTTCTCGGGGTGGGGGGGGGGGTGGTACTGGGGATTGAACCCAGGAGTACTCAATCATTGAGGCACATCCCCAGCCCTTTTTTATATTTTATTTAGAGACAGGGTCTCACTGAGTTGCTTAGCACCTTGCTAAGTTGCTAAGGCTGGCTCCTGCCTCAGCTTCCCTAGTTGCTGGGATTACAGGCTTGTGCCAGCTCAATCATAGGTTTTTTAAAATACATCTCCTTTGTCTTTATCCAATCTAACAGCATTGTGTAGGCTAACAGTGCATGGACGCTTCAATCAAAATAAGGCAATTATGCCCGGCAAGGTGGCGCCCAGGGTGTGCCAGGTACTAACTCTGTGAAAGGGACCAGACCCAAGCAGGATGATGCCACCATTTGACCTACCAAAGGTGACAGAGGGAGACATACAGCTCTTAGCCAAGGAGCTCAGTGAATGTCATTGCTTAGGAATGAGGTGGAGGGGAAAACCAGGAAGGAAAAGGGGTGCTGGTGATTTTTACAAGCCTCATTTGGAAAGAGCAAAGGACAGGTGGAATAACATGACAACTAACTGACACAAGTTTGAGTCCCAGCTTGAGGACCTGGTAACTGGAGGATTTGGACAAGTGAATTAACTAACCTCTGAATGTTGTTCCATGAAATGGAGACAAAGGGTTGGGGTTGTGGCTCAGTGATAGAGCACTTGCCTAGCATGTATGAGGCACTGGGTTCAATTCCCAGCACTGCATGCAAATAAATAAATAAAAATAAAGGCCGGGCACAGTGATGCACACCTGTAATCCCAGCTGCTCAAGAGGATGAGTCAGGAGGATCACGAGTTCAAAGCCAGCCTCAGCAAAAATGAGGTGCTTAGCAATTCAGTGAGACCCTATCTCTAAATAAAATACAAAATAGGGGTGGGATGTGACTCAGTGGTCGAGTGCCCCAGAGTTCAGTGCCTGGTACCAAAAATTGATTAATTAACTAATTAAATTAAATAAAGGTTCATCCATGACTAAAAAATAAATATATTTACTTTAAGAAAATGGAGACAATAGTGTCCTCAGCATGACTATTAGCAGAAATACATTAGATATCTGTCAAGCACTTTGCACCGTGCCTAGTGATGGCAGGCAGAGCAGAGAGCATGTCTGGTCCTTATTCTCAGGTCTAGGATGTGAGACCAATGCTTCTCTGAGGTTCTGGCTCAGGGTCTCTCATGCAGTTGTTGTCAGCGGTGGGTCAGGGCTGCAAGAGGATCGGTCTCCTTGCTCATGGTTGTCGACAAGCCGCCTTTCCATTCCAGGTTTTGGCTGGATGCCTCAGCTCCTCACCTCATGTGCCTCGCCCTGGGTCCTCAACAAGGGACCAGCTTCTCCCAGAGTGAAGATAGCAGTAGAGGGACTGCAGTGCTCACCTGGTGAGGGAGAAAGAAGAGAGTTGGCATGCAGTGCTGCCCAAAGGGAAAGGAAGTAACACTCACCTAACTTGTGGAGACCGCCAGCTTCTAGTCCAGGAGATGGATCATGAAGTGTGAGGAGAAGCCTATCAGCTCCAGGGAACTGCACCTAACAGCATCTCAGTGACACCCCCACCAGCCTGCAGCGCCTGAAAGTACAGGCTAGATGTCTGTGTTTGGCCAAAGTGGTCCCAGGAGGGCCTCCTACTCCCTGCAGCCACAAGTGTGTGTAAACATGCTTCTCAAAACACCCCAAGACCCTCCATGAAGCCAGGTGTATAGCTGGTAACATTTGCTGATTGCTCTTTGGCACATGCTGTTTCACCCAGTCCTTAAGCACTCAGTCCTCAGGGTAGAGGGCATTAGTCTATTTTGCAGGTGAAGAAACTGAAATTCAGATTAAAAATAGACCAAGTTTGCAGGGATATGAACAGTTATGAAAATTATCTAAAATTCATAAATAGGACAAAAATATTGCTCTGGGCCTTTAATTCAGAATTACACTAGAACAGTGTTTCTCAATTAGAGGCAATTTGAAACCTCACCTTACCCACAAGGGACCTTTTGGCAATGTGGGGAAACTTTTTTGCCTGTCACAGTTTGTTTGTTTTTAATTTTTTGATTTGTTTTAATTAGTTATATATGAATATAGAATGCACTTTGATACATCATATATAATAATTTCTCATTCTTCTGATTATACATGATGTAGATCACACCTGTCATATAGTTATATATGTACATAGGGTAATAATGCCCAATGCATTCTTCTATCCTTTCTACATTCTTTTTTTTTTAAATTTTTTAATTTGTTATAAATTGGGCTCTATATGTATAATATAAATTGTAAAGCATTCTGTTGTCTGGGGAAACTAATACTGCTGCCATCTAGTGGGGACAGGCCAGTGATTCCGCTAAACATTTCAGGATGTATGGGACAACCTCCACAGCAGAGAAGCACCCAGGCCAAACAGCAATAGTACCACTACTGAGAAACCCTGCTCAGGAACAACATGGCAAGGCTTGACTTATTGTTTGCTATTAATTAGCTCTCAAGAATGACAACTTGGGACTGGGGCTGCAGCTCAGTGGCAGAGCACTTTGCCTAGCATGTGTGAGGCACTGGGTTTGATCCTTAGACCACAAAAAAATAAACAAATAAAATAAAGGCATTCTATCCATCTACAATTACAAAGAAATTTTTATTTATTTGGATGTAGTATACTTTATTTAATGAATCTTCTAAATGTTAGCCATTTAGATTCTTTTAAATTTTTTGCAACTTTAAATTATTTAAGCAAATAATGATAAATCTGGGAATAAATATAAGATCACTTCCTTTTTTTTTTGCTAAGAAATTCAGATTTTACATTTTATCCTGCAAATTATGAGGAACACTGAATGGCTTTAGAAAGCAACTTGATTTAAATGGCTTATAAGAAGGCCAGTGTCATTTCCTGATAAGTACAAGCCACCTCTTATAGAGAGAGAAAATAGGGCATGATCAGAATGATTTAATTCTAGATCAATACAATAGCTTGTTCAGTGCAATTGAAATATAACATATATTATTACATAAATGATCAGGAAATAATATCAGTAAACAATGTCCTCTTTTTAAAATTTTCAACAATATTCTTACAGACCTATTTCCCTTGCTGGATGAGCAGGGTAGGAAATGGACTTGGTGTTCCATAGTTTGTATGCCTGGAACATAAACTCTGTTTTCTCTTATGTGAACTCTCAGATCCAGAGAAGAGTTGAAGATGTTCACCGGATTTCAATCCTGAAGCAGAGGCTGAAAGGTCCTGTCTGGTTATTGAAGAGTTAATTCCGGGCAATCCTCCAGGAGCAACACAATACATAGATAAACACAGGAAGAGGAATCCCACGTCTGTGATTTGCAGCAGTGACGTGTGGCAAAGTATTTATGATTTTCCTGTAACTGAGTAGGACACATGAAAGGACTTTGCAAGATGGAGAAAAAGTATTAGATTCAAATGAGAAATAATTATATAACACCAGCTAAGTTTCTGCTGGAAGGATTATTATGAGGCTCCAAATAACCAGAATGCCTGAGACTTTAATGTTTTCAATGTATTAAGAAAAATAGGAGATAGTAGAAAGAATCAGACATTACTTTCCAATGTTCGTATATGAATACACAACCAGTATAATTCCACATCATGTACAACCACAAGAATTGAAAATTATACTCCATGTATGTTTAATATGTCAAAATACACTCTACTGTCATATACAATTAAAAATAACAAAAAACATTTAAAAAATTTTTTTTAAAGTAGAAGGAAGTATCAACCTGTAGGTTAGAACTGAAGGATTCACCATCCCATAAGATGATACCAATGTTTTCTTTTAGCTTCTCCAATTGCCGCAGTCTGGCTGGGCACAAATTAACCGAGCCGCCACACAGCCTTGTAGGTTCAAAACAGGAACTCCTTTATTCTCCGCACTCCCGCGAACCACGCAGGCAGCCTTCTCTCGGGACACACCACACACCAACCGGAAATCCCTCTCCCTGCATTTCCCCAACCAATGGGAACTCTCCGGGAATTCCTGCGAGAACTCTAAAGTAGCAAGCCCAGGCGGACAGCAGGGGTCTAATATATACAGCTTAACATAACCATTATCATCTCAATGGCTTGCTGGCATCACCTCTCAACCACTCCATTCTGGCAAAAATGCCATGCGTCATTCGGACTCGGCTATGGCTCTCAGCATCTCCCCCCTTCTGTTTAATTAAACACCAAGTATGTGGCTAAGATCACTTCCTTGAGGTGAGTGGATTCTAAGGTTATGTCCCTCTGCTGTGGAAGCCGTTCCCCTCTTGTCCACATGAACCATTACAAGAAGCCTTCAGTTTCCTCCCAGGATCAAATAGGTGCTGTCACTACTCCCTGTGCTCAGCTGCCTCCTTGTTAGAAGGTGCCTTCTTCTCTTCAAAGATACCATCAGCATCAATTCAGTAGGTAAGGGATCTTCAGGCCTTATCAGAATTTTGTAGTCCTTGGGGACCTATGTTTTCTCATCCTTAAGATGACACAAGGGTCACATTCTTGTCACTCTGAGATGAAATTCCCAAAAAGATCTGCTAGACATTTACCAGAGAATGAGTGTGGGTGTCGTGCCCGTGGCAGTTTCCATCCAGATACAGCAGGGTCCCCATCTCTACGTCAAAATTTTTAAAAAAGACAACTTGTACAAACAATAATAAATGCTGGAGAGGATGTGGAAAAAAACTTTTATACTGTTTATGGAAATGTAAATAGAGTACAACCACCGTGGAAATCAGCATGGAGGTTCCACAAAAGAGTGGGCATGGAACCACCATATGACCCAGCTATACCACTCCTCAGTATTTATCCTGAAGAATTAAAGTCATTCTACAGTGATACATATATACCCCTGTTGATGGTTGAATAATTCACAAGAGTCAAACTATGGAAACAGCCTAGGTATCCATTACGGATGAATGGATAAAGAAGATGTGATATATATATACACACAATGGAGATTTTTGTTTGTTTGTATTGTATTTTATTTTGGTACCAGGGATTGGACCCAGGGGTGCTTAACCACTGAGCCACATCCCCAGCCCTTTTTTATATTTTACTTAGAGACAGGGTCTCGCTGAATTGCTTAAGGACTCACTGAATTGCTGAGGCTGGCTTTGAACTCGCAATCCTTCCACCTCAGCCTTCTGAGCTGCTGGGATTATAAATGTGCACCACCTCACCTGGCACAATAGAGTTTTATTCAGCCATAGACACCAAGTTGCCCAGACTGGCCTTGAACTTGGGATCCTCTGCCTCAATCTTCTGAGTCACTGGGATTTCAGGCGTGTGCCACTATGCCTAGCATACGGTGTCTTGTTTTAGCAGTCCAAGCAAAATAATACAAGAGGGAACCATCGGGAAGACAAAATTATTTAAATGAGGGTAGAAGAAATTGATATATCTAGTCAGTGATAAAAAGAATTCTGGAGTAAGATGGCTAAATTAGATTCCTTAATCATCATTATAGTGGTATTTCAGATATATCACATGCTTTTTTCCTCTTGTCCCCTCAAATCTTCTCAAAAAATTTTTTTTTGTAAAAGAGAGAAAATTCTGCCAAATGTTCTCTTAATTCTGTCACAGCAAGAATCAAAGGACCCAAGGGACCCTGAAGGGAGCCATTCTCAGTAAATAAATCCAAACCTTCTTTTCTCTGGCCACTGATCATTTCAATGATTAGCCTATTATTTAAATTATTTACAGGTTTCACATTTTCAGAACATTTCAGAAGTATTGATTGATTAACTTGCTGAATATATTATGAACTCAATCTATATTAAGCTCAAGGTAATGTATTAAATGCCATTCCAGAGTTTGGATTCAGGCAGTGGAGCCATAATCAGTCTCCTGGGACATACTCCTATTTCTCATCCCTCAGTACAGAAAACTTTGCCCTTGGCAAATGTTGGAGAAGAACACATGGGCAATCTCTCCTATCAGTGAGTCCAAGTAAATACAGTGGGCTGGTCACTACCCGGCAGGAAAAATCAGAGCACTGAGTCAAATCTCACAGCTAAGCAAAAATGAGGGAGAATTTAGAGACTTAGGGTTTTGTTCTCTCAGGTGAACTGGAATAGCTTTCCCTTTTAGGGTGCCCTAGAAGATTCTCTAGCCCTCTTCATCATGTAATATGCCCTGCCTCTGAACTGGCTTCTGAGTTTGAATGCTCTTGTCATTTCCAAATATTCATGTTGAAATGTGAACCTCTAATATAGGAGTATAGGGAGATGTGGCCTTTTGGAAGGTGCTTAGGTTTTGAAGGTGCTGACGTTGTAAATGGATTAATAAAAATAGCTTGTGGGGTGGTTCGCTCTCTTCTGCCTTTCTGCCATGTGAGGAACAGCACTCTTCCCCTCCAAAGGATTCAGTATTTAAGGCGCCATTTTGGAAACAGACCAGGCCACCAGGCCTCACCAGAAACCAAACTTGCCAGTGACTTGATCTTGGACTTCTGGCTTCTAGCATTGTGAGACATAAAGTTTTGCTCTTAATAAGTTACCCAGGCTCAGGTATTATGTTATAGCAACATAAAATAGACACTGGCCACCCCATTAGCGAAAGTGATTACTCCAAGGAGTGGACCACATTCCAGTCAGAGCTCTTCCTGGGACTAGACACTTAACTAGAGAGATTTAACTAAGACTGTAGGGGAAGAACACTGGGTCAGAAAGCATGGGTTCTAGTTCCACTTTAATCAATGGGCATGTCAAACTCTCTGGACCTTCATTTCTGCATCTGACAAATCTAAAAGGATTATATTAGTACTTGCTACAAACTCACCTATGCACACAGCCTTTCCTTTAACACAAGAAAACTATACTTCTTAAAAAAAACCCTTGGGAGCCAGGCATCGTAGTGCATACCTGTAATCCCAGCCACTTAGGAGGCTGAGGCAGGAGGATCATGAGTTCAAAGCCAGCCTTAGCAAAAGTGAGCCACTAAGCAACTCAGTGAGACTCTGTCTCTAAATAAAATACAAAATAGGGCTGGAGATGTGGCTCAGTGGTCAAGTGCCCCTGAGTTCAATCCCAAGTACCAAAAAAGTTTTTTAAAACCTCAGGTTTTTTAATCCAACAAGAGGAAGATAGGAAGCTTTCTATGGGAAATCAGAAGAAATGCTACCCCAAGGCAGGTGACACCTCCTCACCAGTGCCATCAGCACCTGTGCTGCTCTTGTCTCCCAACCACACTCAAGACCCTTTGGGCAGAAGCTTCCTCTGGCCATTATCTGAGTCCTTGAGGTTTGGGAGGGTTTTGTTTTTGTTTGTTTTTTTTTTTGTTTTTTGTTTTGTTTGTTTTTTTTTTTTGGTACTGGGGATCTAACCCAGGGACAATTTACCACTGAGCTACATCCCCAGTGTCCTTTTTTGAGACAGGGTCTAAGTTGCTAAGGGTCTTACTAAGTTGTTGAAGCTGGCCTTGAACTTGAGATCCTCCTGTCTTAGACTCCCTAGTCACTGGGATTACAGGTGTATACCATTATATCCAACTTTTAACTCCCCCCTCCTTTGGCACTTAAATCCAGGGTCGCTTAACCACTAAGCCACATCCCAGTCCTTTATTTTTATTTATTTTTTTATATTTTCATACAGGGCCTCACTCTTAGGGCCTTGCTATGTTGCTGAGGTTGATCTCAAACATGCAATCCTCCTGCTTCATCCGCCCAAGTTACTGGGATTACAGGCATGTGCCACTTCACCTGGCTGACTCCTTGAGTACTGATGTGTTTTCAATGCAAAGAACTACAGTGACAACCCCAGACATTGTGCAGACCAGATAGACTCCCTTTCAAACATGTGTAGGAGTAAGAACAGCTGCCATTTCTCCCTTCCTTATCTAATCAAAACTCAGCCAGATAGTCCCAGGCCATAAGTGACACATCATTTAAGAGAAACTATTAGGCCACTGGTGATCTTAGAATATAAATTCCTCAAGAGCAAGGATTTTTATTTTGTTCATGAGCCTATCTTCAGTATTAGAATTGTGCATTGGTATACAGTAAATGCTTGTTAAGGGAATGAACACTGTCAGAAAATTGAAATGAAATGGTGAAATGGTGCACACCCATAATCCCAGCTAGTTGGTAGGCTGAGGCAGGAGCATCACAAATTTAGAGCCATCCTCAGCAACTTAGAGAGAACTTGTCTCAGAATAAAAATAAAAAGCACTTGGAATGTGGCTCATTAGAAGAGCACCCTGGGTTCAATTCCCAGTAGCGTGCATGCACACGCGCACACACACACACACACACACACACACACAAAGAACAAAAAAAATGTATACAGTTAAAGCAGAGGGGACTTCCTTATGCCAGCTCAGGTCACTTACTAGTTTTTGGAAATCTGCCTTGTTATTTTGTTTGTTTGCTTGCTTGTTTGTTTTGGACACTGGAAATAAACATAAGAGCACTCTGCCACAGAGCTATATTCCTAGCCCTTTTTTTGAAACAGAGTCTCACATAATTGCCCCCGCTGGCCTTGAACTTTCGATTCTCCCGCTTCAGCCTCACAAATCACTGGAATTACAAGTATATATCACCATATTCAGCAAAACCTGGCTTGTTTTAAAGTTTGATTATGTGGTTCCTAGTAAAGGTAAATCCATTCTGGTTAGGCCTGGTCTGTTGAGGCCTAGTGTAGGAATTTATCCCAAGACAGTGGCCTCCCAAAAACTCCATTTAACAGAAATCACAGAGCCCTCTGTGTGGAGAAAGGAAAAAGAAAAAACTCTTCCAGAAAAGTCCTGCTACAAGGCTAATACAGTTACCCAAATGAGAGAAAACAGCCTAGGACTGGACTCCAAGACAGAGAAATTGGGCCAATTCAGCATATGTTTTTGGTTTGGTTTGGTTTAGTTGTCAATGGACCTTTATTTTATTTATTTATATGTGGTGCTGAGAATTGAATTGCTAGGCAATTGCTCTACCACTGAGCTACAACCCCAGCCCTCAGCATATGTTTTGAAGCAGAATTAATGCAGGAGTCATTGATGAGTTGGGTGTGGGGAGCAAGGGAAAAGAATAGAAAGGGAGCAAGGCGCTCACCTGTAATCCCAGCAGCTCAGGAGGCTGATTCAGGGGTTGGTTCAAAGTCAGCCTCAGCAACAGTGAGACCTTGTCTGTAAATAAAATACAAAATACGGCTGGGGATATGGCTCAGTGGTCGAGAGCCCCTGAGTTCAATCCCTAGTACCAAAAAATAAAAATAAAATAAAATAGAAAAGGAGACACCCAAGTTACTAGTAAGAATCATTTGGTGTATGACGATGCTATTTTTCTTAGTTGGCATAAACTGGAGAAATCTCAGATTTGGGGGTAATAAGATTTTTTAAATTCATTCTTTGGGTCCTTAAAGGTTTGAGATTCCAGGTAAAATGCAAATACCTCAAGAAAGAAGTTACTCTGAAAACTATGATTGATCAGTATCAGTTAGTTCCACACTGTTCCTTGGCAGTGAGCCACAAAACAAAGTCACCAGAAGAAGTAAGAGGTCAATAAAGAAGTATATCAGTCATTCTTTCATTTGTTTTCATTCATCAGTTGAGTGTCTATTCTGTGTTGGAGATATTAGAAAAATAAGACAGCTAACAACTTAATTGCAGGCTGTGGAAACATAAGAAGGTGCCTAAGACACACTGTAGGGACATAGAAGTTTGGTTTCATGAAGAGATTCTGCAGGAGGTGACATCTGACATCTGAGTTGAGACCTAGAGGAGGAATGAACTTCAGCACCTTCCTATCTCCTCTGTTCACCCACAAAAAGTATTCACATTTTTTAAAAGTATTCACATTTTCCAAAAGTATTCCTTTGCAACATATACCCTAATTAAACTTTCTTTTTAAAATCTATCAGTAATAGCTAACATATATTGTACAGTTAATAAGAACCAGTCCCTATTCAAAGAACTTTACAAGGATTAACTCATTTTACCCCCACAACTCTATACATGTGGAAACTTTTATAAAAACTCCATTTTACAGACAAGACACAGAGAGGTTTTTCCTAACTGATGTGACCTATACGTGCAGACCAGCAGTTTCGAAGCCTGCAGCACATCCAGTTCCCCCGCAAGGCCGCAGTTCCCAACTGCCTCCCGTACAGAATTTCTGCAGCGGCCGGTCCCCAGGCTGAAGTCTCCCTGAGGTCAGGGTCCTTGGTTATACATTCAAGATGCTGCCCAAGGGGTAAGGTCCGCGCTTTGTTAAATACAAGATAGTACAATGCTGGGAAGTTCTTCCTGAGGTCTCCCTCTGCCTGCTTCCCCACTAAAGAATGGACCTGAGCGCGGGAGCCCAACCCCGGCGCCTGCGGCCCACGGCCACCAGGTGTCGCCGCCGCGTTCCCGAGCGGGAGGGTGGAGCGGGCGGCAGAGCGGAGCAGCATGTGGACGTTCGGGCGCCGCGCGGCCGCCGGCCTCCTGCCCCGGTCGGCGTCCTCCGGCCCGGTCCAGGCCCACACCGGGACCCCGCGCCCGGAGGAGCTCGCCCGGTTTTGCAGCCGCCGTGGACTGTGCGTGGGGACCGCCGCGGCCTGTGCGCCCCGCCGAGCCGTGAGTATTCGTGCCCCGCAGCTGCCCGGGCCATACGCCCGCGGGGGGAGGCGCCGCGCACGCAGGACGCTCGGAGGCGCGCTCGGGCATGCGCACACACTGGGGGACGTGCTGGGCGGTGAGGGCGGCGGGCAGGGGCTTTGCGAGCTCCTTTCCGGGACGGGGTTACGTTTCCACTGGCTTCTGGAAAGCTCCGTACTTTGTCCTGCCATGCGACTGCGAGCCAACGGCCCTGGCAAAGTGGCGGCAAATGGCCAGGGCGTTTGGAGGGAGCTTTGGCTATCTCGAAGCTTGTCACTTGCCTTCGTGAGAATTGAAGTATAACATTAATATATGCAATATTATATGATGCTCTTGTGTGTATTATTGGTGTGGAATGTATAGAGAAATATACACATAAATTTGGGGGAGGGGAGGAAGGGGGTACTGAGGATTGAACTCAGGGACCCTCGACCACTGAGCCACATCCCCAGCCCTGTTTTGTATTTTATTTAGAGACAGTGTCTCACTCAGTTGCTTAGTGCCTTGCTTTTGCTGAGACTGGCTTTGAACTCATGATCCTCTGGCCACATACTCTTTTCAAGCCTGGATTTTGTGAATGAAACCCTTCCTTCCAGCGAGGTGAAACTGTTAGACCTGCCAGGGAGCTGGAGGCCAGCTTTTGGAAAACGACCCCGATCTGGATTCCAAATTCTGGCTCTTGGATTCTGTAGACCTGGGTGACCTCTGGCTTCTCCCAACCTCTCAGCCTCTCTTGAACTTCGTGTTCTGTACAGAGGAGATAAAGGGTGATATCCGTTTTGCCTGCCTGAGTGACTGTTATATTGTACTAGCATGTAAAACTTCAGTGCTTCAGGATGCAAACAAGTATGTGATTCAGGCACTCCATAATTTGAAAGTAAGAAGCCCAAAGAATGGCTGTGGAGCCAAGAAAAACTACCCCTGGTCTGGGAAAGCCGGTGGTCCCCAGGATTCAAGGTAGTGGTGGAGGGCATTCTAGGATAGGGAGCCACACGGGCAAAGGCCTGGTGGCCGACTTGGATCAGTTGTGAGTGGCTGGTACAACTCTGTATTGCAGGAGACAAAGGAGGTCCAACCCCACTTGTAAGTGGTGGCCAGGGTTTGGATTTAAGCATAAGTTGCCCACCGACACTTGTTATGTAGCCCGCACAGTGTTTGAAGAAACTTTAGGATTGGTTGCCACCATTGCAAAAACTGGGACCTAGAAAATAGATTTCCCAGTTTCTTTGGGAAAATAAGCAGGTGTGACCACGAGGGTCCCCAGATCCCCTCTATCACTCATTCCTTTGTTGCACTCACCTTCTGTGCACCCTTGGCCACTATAGTTTGTGGCAGTTTTTAACTTAGGAGAGTGACAAGGGGTGATACCCAGTAGCTGTACAGGCAATTGACTGGGGAGCACACTCTGCATTGTGCTGGCACCCAGGTGGTGTACACTGGGCTTAGGGGTCATTTGGCGATGCCTAGGTGATTGGCATCCTTGGTCACTCACTGGACCTCTTTTTTTCAATCATAAATTAATTACAGTTTTTTAACCTGTTCATTCCAGTTCCTTTGCACATCTTGAGTACTTGTGCAGTTGGAGAATGGTGTGGCAACTGAGACCACCATCCTTTTTAAAGCCTTGAGAGTCCTCAGTTTGGTCTATAAGAGCCCTTGGACTCTGAAATTCATCAGGACCTGAATTCATGTGTAGGCCTTTCCCCATCCTTCTTTCTTATTTATTTATTTACTTTTGGTACCAGGAATTGAACTCAGGGGCACTTGACCACTGAGCCACATCCCCAGCCCTATTTTGTGTTTTATTTAGAGACAGTGTCTCACTGAGTTGCTGAGCGCCTCACTGTTGCTCAGGCTGGCTTCGAACCCATGATCCTCTATCTCTGCCTCCTGCGCCACTGGGATTAAAAGCATGAGCCACCGCGCCTGGCCCATCCTTCTTTCTTTATCCCCTATTTCTACTTCTAGAGCAGCTGTGCAACAGAAATAGCCAATACATAATTTAGAACTTTCTGATTGCTATATTGAAGAGTAAAGAGAAACATGAAATTAATTTTAGTAATATGTTTATTTAATCTAATACATCCCAATATTATCATTTCAACATGTGATCATTATTTTTAGAATGATTAATAATATATCTTACCTTCTTTTTCCACACTCACACACTTCCAGCATATCCTAATTCAGATGTTAAATTTCCCTGGAAATATTTGAGCTATATTTAGAGTTTATAAAAATCATGTTTGGGGCTGGGGATGTGGTTCAAGTGGTAGCGCGCTCGTCTGGCATGCGTGCGGCCCGGGTTCGATCCTCAGCACCACATACAAACAAAGATGTTATGTCCGCTGAGAACTAAAAAAAATAAATAAATATTTAAAAAAAAAAAAAAAAAAAAAAAAAAAAAAAAAAATCATGTTTGGTGGCTGGGCATATAGTTCAGTGGCAGAATGTGTCCAGTATGCCGTATGCCTGAGGCCCTGAGTTCTGTCCCCAGCACCACAAAAAGAGGGAAAAAAATCACAATTGAAAACAATGGTTCACATATTCATTTCAAACATACTTAAATTTTCTTAAATAACTTTTTATGATTTTTTTTTTTGTACCAGGGATTGAACTCAGTGGCACTCAACCACTGAGCCACATCCCCAGCCTTATTTTGTATTTTATTCAGAATAGGTCTCACTGAGTTTCTTAGCACCTCACCATTGCTGAGGCTGGCTTTGAACTCCCACAATTCTTCTGTCTCAGCCTCCTGAGCCGCTGGGATTACAGGCCTGTGCCATTGCACCCAACCTAATCATTTTAAATTAATTTAAATGAAGCATAAACTCTAGCTCCTCAGTCTTGCTCACATTTCTAGTACACAGCAGTCACTGTGGCTGGTGGCCACCACACTGGGCAACTCTGGGTACAGTGTGTACTATGTCTTGATTGTCAGCTTGCACATAGGAACCCAGAATCTACAGGAATGGCTTTGAAGAGTGCCACTCTGCAGCCCCCGTCCCCAGATGGCTGGCAAGGGCTCTGGTTTTGCTGGCAGCCTCTGTTCCTGAAGGAAAGGAAGCTAGGGCCAACATCTTTAACCTTTCACCTTAATGCTGGAGACAGATTTGTGCAGGAGGTAACCTAAGGTTTTGTTTTGTTTTGTTTTGTTTTAAACACCCTCCTCTTTTTAAAAAATATTTTTTTAGTTGTCAATGGATCTTTTATTTTATTTATCTGTATGCGGTGCTAAGGATTGAACCCAGGGCCTCACACATGCCAGGCAAGTGTTCTACCACTGAGCCGCAACTCCAGCCCTAACCTAAGGTCTTTGCCTCTTCAGTCTTCATAATCTCTTGCTACAGCCACTTCAGCATCCCTGGAATGGCCTTGAGACATCCACCCATTTTCCTAAAGGGACAAAACCATCCCCTATGACTCCATTACCATTAGGTTTTAAGCCTAACAAGCAGGCTGTGCTCTAATTCACATTAAATTCCTTTTTGTTGTCTTTCAGAGACATTATACATGAGTTTATACCCACAAAAGGAATATAAAATATCCATATTGCTGGGGGAGGTGGCACTCTCTTGTTATCCCAGTGACTTAGGAGGCTAAGACAGGAAGATCACAAGTTTGAGGCCAGATTCTGCACCTTAGCCAGACCCTCAGGAACTTAGTGAGACCCTGTCTCAAAATAAAAAATAAAGGGGCTGGGGTTGTAGCTCAATTGTGGAGCATTTGCCTTCTACATGTGAGGCACCGAGTTCAATCCTCAGCACCACATAAAAATAAATAAATAAAATAAAGGTATCGTGTTCACTACAACTAAAAAATATATATTTAAAAAATATATAAAAATAAAAAGAGCTGGGGATGTAACTCAGTGGTAAAACACCCCTAGGTTCAATCTCTAGTACCCAAACAAACAAACAAAAAAACCCACAACAAAACAAAACAAAAAGCAACTCTGTTGCTTACAGATAAAATAATAAATGCTAGAGTCTGAATGCTGTGTTCCCCCAAAATTCATATGTTGAAACCTAATCACCAGGGTGACAGCAGGAGATGGGCCTTTGGCAAGTAATGCAGATAATGAGCTCATGAGAATAGAGCTCTCAGAATTGATGAGTGCCCCTGTGGAATGGCCCAAGGAGCTCATTGGTCCCTTCCACCAAGTGAGGACACACTGAACCAGAAAACGGGCCCCTACTAGACACCAGATCTAGCAGTGCCTGATCTTGGATTTCCAGCCTCTAGAACTGTTAAGAGGAATTCCTCTTGTTTATAAGCCACACCGTTTATGGCATTTTGTTATAGCAACACAAAGGGACTAAGACAGTAGATACCCAAGTCACCTATGTCAGATTGAGAGAATTTGTTTATTCCTCAGAAGGCCTGTGCAGGGCCTCAGAAGGCACTGCCCTGCCCTCCCCTGGAGGAACCTGCTATCCTGGGTTCTGTTCATTATACCTCCCCCCTTTCCTGGGAGTCTTACCTCTGATGTGTTTCTCCTTAAATATCTGTTGTTGACATAAAGACATTCTGCTGTGACTCGCCCTTTCTGTTTAACAATGGTTTTGAGTATCATCGACAACTGATGCCCACAGCTATCCTTTACTTGTTTTCCCTGCTGAAGACTATCCTATTGGGTGAATAGATCACACCTCATCTGGGCTCCTTTTGGTGGCATTCATCAGATTGCAGAGTTCTGCCACTGTCGTGCTGCTCCGTGTTTCTCTGCGTGGATAGTTGTTCCCTTCCTTCCAGTAAATTTCTCAGGATGGAATTATTGGACAAAGGGCTAGCCCAGGATCAACAAGTTTGGTCTCCAAAGTGTTTATTCCCCTTGTTTTCCCCCAGCAAGGGAGGAGTACTGACTGATTCACTCTTCAAGTGTTGTGGTTAGATAGGGCCCAGAATGACTGGGCAACAGGATAAAGGCTGGCCTCCCTTCTGGCCTACCCAGGGTAGGTGATAACTGGGTCATGTGGGTCCTGAGCCTGAGACATGAAACCTAGAAACTCACTAGTATTTCCTAGATGCATCCCATGAGAACACAGATCCATTAGACCATGGAGACTCAGCAAACCCACAGCACAGTTGGCTTCGGGGAGACCTGGAAGTAGAAGGGTTGGCTGCTGGGTGGCTTCAGCAGGAAGCCTTTGAATTCTATCTGCTACTCTCAGGTTGGAGTTTGCCTCTTTCACTTCCAGGTCTCCACCCTTTGGTTGACACCTTTCAAAACACATCTACTGAACACCCTGAGGCCCTGTATTTGAGATATTCAGGTTCTCTTGCTTAATCCTCTTGACCAGTCTATAGCAAATATTACCATGATCACTTCCTTCAGAAAAGAACACAGGTCCTGAAAGATTTGGCAGTAGCCCAAGATATGTCAAATTGATGGGGGGAAAAAACAGGTTAAGTACAAGGTAAGGAGTATTTGGCAAAGGTTTTTTATTATGACTAAAAATGCCTGGGGCTGGGACTGTAGCTCAGCCTAGAATATGCAATGCCCAGAGTTCAATCCCCAACATCCAGAAATGAAAAAAAAAAAAAAAAAGAAAAGAAACTCTGATAGCTGACTGTCAATGAGTAACTTGCATTTGACCAAACTTTGTCTCAGAATAAAATAAGGCTGGGATGTAGCCCAGTGGTAGATCACTTGCCTAACATGTATGAGGCCTGGGGTTCAATCCCCAATGCTGGGGGAAATGGTTTGGGAAGGTATCAGAGAGACTGAGACAGCTAGGATTTGAGAGGCCAGGACCCAAGAAAGAAGGGAAATTCCCTAGAGAGGGAACTCAGCATGCTCCAACACTTTCTCCTCATGTTTGAACCCTGTTCTGATTCCCAGACTTGTGATTCTTTCCTTTGTGGCAGATAGCTCTGGTCCAATCCCAGCTCTACCACTTTATACCTTTCTGTCAGTGTGACTTTGGGGGAGTTACCCTTTGGTGCCTCATTTTTCTTATCTGTAAAATACAAATGCAATCCATCCTTATTATTTGCATATTCTGTACTTCTGAATTTGTGTATTTACTACAATTTGATGCCCCAAATCAGCACCTTCAGGGCTCTCATGATTGTTTAGTAGGCAAGCTCAGAGTGGCAAAAAGTTTGAGTACCCTTAGAGCATGTTCCCAGCAGACGTGAAACAGGACTTTGCTCTGTCTTGGTCCAGCTCCCACAGTGTGAGCACAGGTCATCTTCGTGTTCTGTTCAGTGCCATGTTTTCAAGTTTTTGTGCTTTCTGTTGATGATGTCGTTGTTTAAAACGGTTCCAAGCCTGGTGCTGAAAGTAAACACAAGGAGATTCATCTTGCTCAGTGTGAGTTATAGTGCTGAGGTCCCAAGTTCATTGTTAATGAATCAACAACATATATGAAACCAGAAATGCACATAAACAGTCATATAGCCATTAGAGGCTTGCAAGGACCTAACCCTGTATTCCCGAGGAATAATTCGCTAATCGAGCATTTGTAGCAACCTACCTCTTTTGAGTAAAGACAATAAAGTAGTACTATGCTCACAGGATTATGATGAGAACTAAATGAGTCTATACATATAAACACGGAAAGCAGGGCCAGGAAGACAGAGAACATTCTAGAAAGTGCAATAGACCCAGGCATGGTGGCACATGCCTGTAATCTCAGCATCTCAGGAGGCTGAGGCAGGAGGATTGCGAGTTCATAGCCAGCCTCAGCAACTTAGCAAGGCCCTAAGCAACTAAGAGAGACCCTGTCTCAAAAATGAAAAGGTGATTCTGCAATCTGTGTATGGGGTGAAGGTGGGAGTTCATAACCCACTTGAATCAAAGTGTGGAATATGATATGTCAAGAAATTTGTAATGTTTTGAACAACCCACAATAAAAAATTAAAAAAAAAAAAAACAACAACAAAAAAAAAAATGAAAAGGGCTTGGGATGTGGCTCAGTGGTTAAGCACCCCTGAGTTCAATCCCTGGTACCCCAAAAAAAAGAAACTGTGATAGCTCTAACAGTGTTGTTATGTCTGCCCTCTTCTCCTTCAGAGCCACCTCCTTTAAACACTCTCTGCACTCGGCCTCCCAACTCTCTCCTCTGCCTACTTCCAGCCCTGTACACTCCCTCAGCCGCCTCCTTTCTGATCTTGCCAAGGGTGCTATTAGCTCAAGATCTATATCTACAGGTCTCTGACCACCAGACCTTTGAAGGGTATAATCTTATCATTAACCTCTTAAAGATCTCTGTGTCTTCCCTGGATGAAGGCCAGCTGAGCTCCTTCAGAAGCCCCTGGCTACCCCCACCTCACTCTGTCACCTCCCTCCTACCTCCCAGGCCAGCTGCCTCCACGCTGACGGCACCACTGTTCTCCCTTGCTCTCAGTTCTCTCCTGTCTGTAATTTTGTCTGTCTTTGCAGCTGGTCATTTGCAGCAAAACCAATGGTTATGAATTCACACCTCATCAACTGGGTGCCCAGCACTTAGGGAAGGAAAAAAATCAACAGGTCACATTCTCCCCTGCAGATCCTGCTATTATAATCTGTCAGATGGCAGTCCGCTTCTCTTTCGGACTCCAGCAGACTTTCGCCTCTTGCTATCTTTTGATGTTTTTCTGAGTCAAATTCTAGGATTAGTGGAATACTGCCACATCACCTGAATAGCCTGCAGCCACACTGCCCAGTAGAACCCCCTGCCATGATAAAAATGTTCAGTATGAACCACTAGCACATATGACATATGGCCTCAGGACACGTAAAATGTGGCCAGTGCTGCTGAGGAACTACTTTTTAAATTTTTATCTTAAAATTTTTATCTTAAATTTAAATAGCTACACGTGGCATATGAGCACCATACTAAACAGCAAGATCTTAGTGAGAGACTTAGAGAGCCATTTTATTGCACTATAGAAAAGTGGAAAGCAATTCCTAAGAAATATTCCTGAAAAATTATAACATAGTTACTCCTAAATGTAGAAGTAACAATATAGGAACCACTTGTGATTGGATTGCAATAGACTGAAAAAAATGGTAATGTTATGTTCTTCTTTTAGAGTTTGCACCTCCACTACCTCAACCAGATTCTAAATGTCAAAAAGCAGAGTGTCTATTTGATGCCTTTGAGGAACTCAGGAACTTCCAGCAACCCGGGGTAAGACTAAGACACCTTCCACCGAGAGATTTCTTCTCTCCTCCCTGCCTGTCCTGTCTAGAACCTGTTTTCTCCCTAAGCAGCAACCCTCTCAGGTGCCTTTCCACATCATTAAGTATCCACCACATTATTTTTCATGAAATAGTATTAAGTTATATGGATGTTTCATAATTCATTTAATCGATTCCTACATGTTGGACGTTTAGGTTGTTTCCAGATTTTTTTAGTATTTTCTTCAGCATCCTAGTTAAGAATATGTTGTTGTAACAAATAGACCCCCAAATGTAATGGCTTAAACCAGTGATGGTTTGTGTCTCCCTCTCCAGACTGCCCAGGGTAGGTATTCCTCCATGAAATGTGGAGGGGCTCAGGCTGCTAGTATCTTCCAGTTCTGCCCTTTCCTGTCAGAGCCTTGCTGTCTGCATTGTTTTGACCTGGTCCCCATCCAAGTTCCATTTGACAGGAAGAGGGCTGGAATCATCAAAGGGTTGTAAGTGGCACTTGTCCGTCACTCACGCTCCAGTGGGAAGAACTTAGTCACATGATCCTTGTGACTACAGGGCAGTCTGGGAAATGCAGGTTAGTGAGTATCCTGAAAGACATGGGCAGTGGATTCCCTGTGGAAAGCTGCTGGACATTGTTACAGTCTATCCTATCTATCTATGCAGCTAACTGATACCTACAGGACCTTCTTCCACACATGGATACACCCCGAGACTCAAGAGAGTCAACCAAACAGCCATGTGGTCTGCATCCACCTCAAAGTCCAAGATTTCTGGGTGACATGCCATTCTCTCTCTCTCTCTCAGGTCTAGGAATGGCTTCTTGTGACTGAGAGACACACATGGTAATGGCAAAGGGCAGATTAACTGCAATAATACTCCCATTCGGACAAGAAACACGTTCCTGGCCTATGGCAGCAATGGGGTCTTGCTGCAACCCAGGATGGAAGATGGTGCTCTACAAATCCCTGGCTCAGCCTCCAGGAGCCTCCTCCTCGCCCATTGCCCCCCTCGGCTTAGGGAAGGCAGGCGTAGGAAGCGAGACTTCCTGGGGACAAGCAGCCTTCACAGCCCACAGTTCTGCTGACCACAGGCTGAGGTGCCAAAGGCTTTTTAAGGCTCTAGTAGGCAGTTTTAGGTCAGATTCATTTTTCTTTGCTGACAGGATTTTCCCCCGAATCATAGTATGCTTCTGATCTGTTTACTCCCAGCCAGTCCCCCATGCCAATACCTCATTCAGATTTCTTCCCTTCATGGAGGCCTCCAACTGCCTATTTCTTTGCATGTCCCCATCCCCAGCTCCCTGAACCTAGAGACAGGCACCTTCAGGTCATGAAACTATTAAGATTGGGGACCAGTGATACCCTCAATTTGATTTTGCAATAGGGTTGGGTCCCTTTTTGGCAGGCCTTTGTGTTCAAAACCTTAGATTCTTCCTTTGACTTTCCATATTTGCACAAATGCTCCTTTTCACTTCCTCTCCTTGCAAACATATCAGTTGTTGCCTGGCTCTTAGAATTTTGTTATACTTGTTAAAAGAAACAGAGAGCCACCTATACAAAGGACCGTTCTAACTATCCCCAGAGAGCTGTATGCTCAGTAGGCAGACTCTTGGCCATCCAGGTTTCCATAGCACCAAACTGACTGCAGGCTCTGCATGGCTTACAAAGCCTGAGGAGCCACACACTCACCCCCAGAGCGTCCCAGCCTGCTGAGTCTGCATTCATGACCCCTACCACAGAGCTCCAAGCCAGCACTGTAGGCTGCATATTTTAAGGGTTTGCTTTGGAGGCACCCATTTCTGGCCCTATTTCTAGCACTCCTCCCTCACAGATGTTCTGCTGCTGTCTTCTGACCCCTCCAGGCAGTCCTGTGAGGGTAGAGAGGATGCCCTGCCCTTGCAGAATGCCCCGATTCCAGCTCCCTTCCCCATGGGCTCCTTTTGACCTCTGGGGAGCACACCATCATCCTGAGTGGCCCGCTCTGCTGTTGGTACCTGTCATCCTCTTGACTTTGGACTCAAGAGATTTTTAGGACTTTGACTTTTTTGATCCAAAGGAGATGTGTCTCTTTTGGGTTCCTCAATTCCTCAAGACAAGTATCAACCCACCTTTCCCATTCTCTCCATCTTACTCTCAAAATGCCCATCACAACCTACCAGACCACCACTCTTTAAAGAACAGACCCCTCCTATCTGCTCAGTCTGCAGCCTGCCCCACCTTGTCCTTGAAGTAGGGGGCACGTTCAGAGTGGATGGCAGGAGTACATGGCAGCACATTAATTATCTGCAGCCACTGGTGTCTTACCTTAGCCCCGTTGGACTCTCAGATATGGAGCTGTCTGGTGTACTTCTCAACCTACAGATGTATCCTCTCAGGGCCAAAAGCTCCTAGAAGGATTGCTTATTATAACAGTAGGATGTTCTGTTTGTTTTGTGACTCCAGGAATGGACCCCAGGTCCTTAATCATGCTGAGCTACACCCCCAGTGTAGCAATAGTTTTATTATTATGATTCAGAGCCCATCAAATACATAATTTGGGGGAGGGGGGGTAGTATAGTCACAGGGTTATACAAGTGTCACCATTACTAATTCCAGAACATTTTCATTACCCCAGAAAGAAACCCTGTACCAGTTACCAGTCATACCTAATTCATCCCTTTTCCTGTCCCCTGCAACAACTAATCTATGTTCTCTCTGGATTTACAGCAATGTTTCAATACTGAAAAATAGAATAGAATGTCTCCAAGTCATGTGTGCACCTTGATAATGTTTCCAAAACTGAACAAAAACAAAAAATCCTGAACATACCTGTGTAACCAGTACCCAGCTCAAAAACAGCATGTCACCAGCCCCTGCAGGCAAGCCCCTAAGCCCCTTCTCCCTCCTGGTGGTTAATAGAGTAACTGACATTCTGATTTCTAATAGCATGGATTAGTTTTGCCTATTTTGTTACTTTATGTATATTGTATTGTTAAGTATAAATGTTTGTGTGTGACTTCTTCTCGTTGTGTTATGTTTGTGAAACTAGTCCATATTGTTTATTGTTCTTGCGTTTTTTTTTTTTTTTTTTTTTTAGTGATACTGGGAATTGAATTCAGGAGCAGTATACCCCCAGCACTTTTTAAATTTTATTTTGAGACAGGGTCTGGCTCAAATTGTTCTTATAGTTGTAAAAAATTCTATTTTGTTATGTCATATACCACAATTCATTATGCATTGTGTTATCTGTGGTTACTTGGGCAGTTCCCAACTTGAAGCTGTAGGATAGTTCTGCTGTGAACATGTCTTTTGGTGAACCTGTATGCATTTCTGTTAAGTGTACCCTAAGAGTGGAATTGGGGGCTGGGGTTGTGTCTACCATGTGTGAGGCCCTGAGTTTGATCCTCAGCACCACATAAAAAAATAAATAAATAAATAAAAGGTATTGTGTCCATCTACAACTAAAAAAATATATTTTTTAAAAAGTGGGGGGCTGGGGTTGTGGCTTAGCAATAGAGTGCTCGCCTCACATGTGCAGGGGCCCTGGGTTCGATCCTCAGCACCACATTAAAATAAATAAATGAAATGGAAGTATTGTAATCAGCTACAACTAAATATATATATATATATATATATATATATATATATATTTTTTTTTTTTTTTAAGTGGAATTGGTGGATCATACATATGAATATGTTCAACTTCAGTGAAGACCGCCAAAAGTTTTCCTAAGTGATTGTCTAGTTTGCTTGCCACCCAGCAGTATCTGAGAACTCTGGTGGCTCCTCATCCTGGACAACTCTTATTATCATTATCACCTGTGTCTTTCGTTTGAAATCATTCTGGTGGTATCTGCTTGTGTGAGGGGTTGGTGTTTTGTTTTGTATTGTTTTATTTAAGTGGGATTTCTTTAAGTGCTCTACCACTGAGCTACATTCCTAGCTCTTTTTATTTTTTGAAACAGGATCTGCTAAGTTGCCCAGGCTGGAGTTGAACTTGCCACCCCCTGCCTCAGCCTCCCAAATAGCTGGTATTACAAGTGTGTGCCACCACACCCACTAATATCCTGGTTTTTTAATTTTCCTTTTCCTGAAGATTAACAGAGTTGAGCACCTTTTCATATGCTCATTGATCATTTGGGCATCTTTTCTTTAATGAAATCTATTCAAGTATTTTGCCCAGTATTTTTTTTTTTTTTTTAGTTTCCTTATTGACATATAGGCTATAATTCTGACTTTGTTCTTTTTCAGATATATGTAATGTTGATATTTTTCCCAACCTTGTGGTTTGCCCAACATAAAATTTAATAACAAAAAAAGTTAAACAACCTCAATGTCCAGTTGAAGGAAATGGGTTAAAGTAATAGAAAATACAATAAAAATCCATATATGCAAATATGAATCATTTATAAATACTAAGTGAAAAATGTAACATGCTTCAATTGTATATTAAAACAAACATGTAGGGGACTAGGGTTGTGGCTTTGTGGTAGAGCACTTGCCTAGCATTTGTAAGGCCCTGGATTTGATCCTCAGTACCACATAAAAATAAATAATAAAATAAATAAATAAATCCAATCTAAATATAAAAAAGAACATCTATCCAGGCACTGTGGCATGCAACTATAATCCCACTGGTGATGCATACCTGTAATCCCAGCAGCTAGGGAGGCTAAGACAGGAGGATTACATGTTTGAGGCCAGCCTCAACAACTTATCAAGGTCCTACACAACTTAATGAGACCTTTCTCGCAATAAAAAATTAAAGGAGGGGCTGGGATTGTGGCTCAGGGTGGAGTGCTCGCCTAGCACGGGCGGGACCTGGGTTCGATCTTCAGCACCACTTAAAAATAAAGGCATTGTGTTGTGTCCATCTTCACCTAAAAAAATACATATAAAAAAAAATTAAAGGAGCTGAGGATGTGGCTCAGTGGCATATTGTCCCTGGGTTAAATTTTCAAATTTCTGGGGATAAGGGCTGTCTATTTGAAGAAAGGCATCACTCTAAAACTCCTTTCATGTTATTTAAATTTTCACACATGGTAATTATTTCCCATCAATTTAAAAAAAAAAATCACTAAAAGATAAATACATAAATTGGATTTTTAAAAAGTGGAGCAGTCTTGGGGCTGGGGATGTGGCTCAAGCGGTAATGTGCTTGCCTGGCATGCGCGGGGCGCTGGGTTCGAACTTCAGCACCACATAAAAAAATAAAATGAAGATGTTGTGTCTGCCGAAAACTGAAACATAAGTATTAAAAAATTTTTTTTTAAAATGGAACAGTCTGGTAATCATATCTTTCTGATCACTCATTTGTTCCCACTGCAGCTCTCTAGACGAAACCGCCTATGAAAGACTAGCAGAGGAAACACTGGACGCCTTGGCGGAGTTTTTTGAAGACCTTGCAGACAAGCCCTGTACACTGGAGGACTATGACGTCTCCTTTGGGGTATAGCTTGGCTTATTTTAATTTTTCTGTTTCTCCATAAGAATTTTAATTTATGGAAGTAAGAATGCCTCTGCAGCAGAGTAAAGCACAAGCAGCATAGAGTAATGGGAGGGACCCAAAGACCCTGTAGGGTTCAGTGACACAACCCAGCCCTACCATTGACTCTGGGCCAGTAACCCTGCCTCTCCAAGCCTCATTTCTGGTTAAAAATATACAGATTTCTAGAGCCATAAAAAATATTAATATAGATTCCCAACCTTCACCTAATACCCATAAAGTAAATAAGGGAGGAGGCCTGGGCATGTGTTTGTGTAGCAGGTCAGCAGGGACAGTACTGAACTAGACCACCAATTCTTTTTTGTTGTTGTTGTTACAGGGGATGGAACCCAGGGGTACTCTAGCACTGAGTTATGCCCCCAGCTCTTATTTATTTGCTTGTTTGTTTGAAGATGGTCCTGCTAAGTTGCTGAGGCCAGCCTCAAACTTGTTATCCCCCAGCCTCAGCCGCTGAGATTACAGGTGTACACTCTAGACAGCTAGTCCTTAAGCAGGGATAATTTTTGGCAATGCTGGGAATGGAACCCAAAGCTTTATGCTTGCTAGGCAAGAGCTCTACCACTGTGCTACATCCCCACCTCCCAGGTAAATTCTATTGTGCAGTTGGTTTGAGAACTGAATTGGATGAAACTTTAGCCCCAGATCCTAGGAGTCAAGGAAGTGCTGGTGTTTATTTATTGGCCACCAGGTGGCAGACTTAGGCAACAGTCTGCTTTTGGGTTTAAAATTGTTAGCCTTTAGATCTCTTTTTTGCCATTGGGAGAAAAATCTCTTCTCCTCTTCCTCTCCCTGCCCCCTCCCCCCTCCCTCAGAGGCAGTGGTTAATCCTCTTGATAGCAATTAATTAATAGCAGGAAATGTCACGAAGTGTACATTTTTTGATTCAATCATAGGATTAGGTAGGACAATCAACTGTCAAATTGAAGTGGTAGAAATGATGTTCATGTTGCTATAAGGCCACTAGGTAGAGAAGAGACTCCGTAAGATAGAACAACCAGCAAAGTCTTGGAAAAGGTGTCAAGCCTGAGAGTAGTAAAATGGAAGTAAACCAGCAGTAAAGGAGGGATACCTTCTGGTGGGCTCAGAGATTGCTGTCAGCAACAGCAAGGAGGTGCTTTATGAAGCTCGGGGTGTGGCTCAGTGGTTAAGTGCTTGCCTAGCATGAGTGAGGCCCCAGGCTTAATCCTCAGCACTGCTAAAAATAAATAAATAAATAGAAATTTAAAAGTGCTCATGAAGAGATCCCCCATAGGGCTGAATTGCTTACAGCCTAGCTCACCGCCTGACCATCCAGGAAATGATTTTAGTGGTGGAAAAGTTACAGGCTTCCTTTCCCCAGACTCCCCACCAGGGGCTGAAACTACAGGGAAACAAGTTCTCAGACTACACTCTGCTCATGTGTGCAAATATTGATTAACAAGCCACAAAAGCAGTCATGCAACCTGTTCTCACAAAATTAGCAAAGCCCCAGATTGACCCAGGTATTTTGCATGAATGTTTCATTAGAAGTAAATGTGGCAGGGGCCGGGACTATAGCTCAGTGGTAGAGCACTTGCCTAGCATGTGTGAGGCACTGGGTTCAATCCTCAGCACCACATAAAAAATAAAATAAACATATAAAATAAAGGCATTGTGTCCATCTACAACTCCAAAAACAAAAGAAGAAGAAGTAAATATGGCAGCAAGCCATGGTGCACGTCTGTAATCCCACTGACTCAGGAGACTGAGGCAGGAGGATTGCAAGTTCAAAGCCAGCCTCAGCAATTTAGTGAGCCCCTAAGCAAGTCAGTGAGACCCTGTCTCAAAATGAAAAATAAATAGAGGGCTGAGTGTATGGCTTCATGATTAAGAGCCTCTGGGTTCCATCCCCTGTATAAAAAAAAAAAAAAGAACAAAAGAAGTAAATGTGTCATTGGTTGGGGATTTAGCTCAATGGCAGAGCACTAAGCACATACAAGGCCCTGATTCCAACCCCGGCACCAAAAAGGAAAAAAAAAAAAAAAAAAAGCAGCAGCAAATGTGCCAACATTGTGGTGGCTAGACTAGGTTTGCCTCATTGAATCAGTTTAAATCAGGTGTCAAAACCTTCTACTCAGTGGTGAGTCACAGAACCTTTAAGAATCCTACTCTCTGTCTCTCTGAAGAGTATTAGCTGCTGGACCTACCAGATTCTATCACCCATTCCTGCAAGGGAGTGGTGCCTTATATTTTTCTAGCCAATCCTTATACCTTGAGCATCACTCTGCTCACCAGGAAACAATTTTTTAAAAATTTTTTTTAGTTGTAGATTGGACACAATACCTATATTTTATTTATTTATTCTTTATGTGGTTCTGAGGATTGAACCCAGTGCCTCACGTGTACTAGGCAAGTGCTCTACCACTGAGCCATAACCCCAGGCCAGGGAAAAATTATTTCTAACAAATTACTCATTAGCAAACCCTCAACTGTATATTTAGAAAGGTAAAAGTATTTAGTGGCTGCATCTGTAGTCTGAACTTATAAATATGTTGAAATGCTCCCTCCCCACCCTGTGATATGAATTCCTGATCACAGTCCTTCAGATGCTACCTTATGTATTTCCTGTATTAAGTAAATTAACTGAAACTACACTGTAGACCATAAAACACCATAACACTATTACCTGAACTTTTTGGAATGGAGCCTTTTTCTGCCCTTGGGGTCCACCTGCAAGTTATCCGCTTTGGAAAGCCTCCTAGATACTCCCTGCACATAGCACCCTCACTTCCTGAGTTTTTTTTTGTTTGTTTTTTGTTTGTTTTTTTGTTTTTTTGATACCAGGGATTGAACACAGTGGTGCTTAACCACTGAGCCATTCCCCCAGTCCTTTTTTATCTTTTATTTTGAGATAGGGTCTCTCTAAGTTAGTTAGGACTTCACAAAGTTGCTAAGGCTAGCTTTGAACTTGTGATCCCCTGCCTCAGCCTCTGGAGTTGTTGGCATTTTAGGCCTGTGCCACCATACCCAGCGTAACTATGCTCTTAAGACTAGTCTGAGCACCTTGGCAAACAGGACTCTGTCCGTTCTTTGATCCCAATGCCTAGAACAGTACTGAATACACAATAGGGGTTTAATAAATGTTGGTTCACTTTTTAAATAAAATATGGCCCACATACTTTTCCAAAACATACTTTCATTATGCCACTCAGCATTTACAGGTCTTTTGCCAACTTACTGCTGGCCAAGTAGACAAAGCAATGATTCAGATTCCTCAAAAACATCTCTTCTTCAGTTTTCTCTCTGTGGGGTGAGCAGCTTCTTGGCTGGCATGTCATCTGATCAGATAATGGGTAATGTCAGTGTCTGGGTCCAGGCCTCACCCCTGTTGGTCATTAAAGGGACACCCCACCAGAGTTGAAAGCACCTCTCGTCACTAGGTGACTACTGAGTCTGCCACACTTGACTGGGTAAAATGTGACCACAGACTGTTTAGAATTGCCAAAATAGAACTAAATGTGGCAACACATGCGGTAATCCCAGCTGCTTTGTAGACTGAAGCAAGAGGATTGCAAGCTCAAGGCTGGGCAAGACACTGTCTCAAAATAAAAAGGGCCAGAGAGGTAGCTCAGTTGAACAGTTCTTGCCTGGCATGTGTAAGGCCCTGGTTTCAATCGCCAGCACCACACACACAAAAAAAAAGATTGTTATATTGGTAAATTTGATGATAATAATTAAATTAAAAAACAAAAACTGGTGGCAGCTACCTGAGAATGAAGCTTGTGTCACAGATTAATGGGAAGTTGTGGGAAGACTAGTGTTTTTGGACCCAGCCACCCTGGATGTAAGGCCAGCTCTGGCAGTTACTGGTGTTCTTTACCACTGTAAACCCCTGGTTTCCTCATCTGTAGAACTGGATAATGATTCCTACCTCCAGTGCTTATGTTCAGTTGTAAGCAATTTCCCATAATGCCAAACAGAGACTGGCAGAGAGTAGGGAGAGTAAATAGTAGGTAATATTTCTATTTATGTTCTCATTTTCCATAAAATTTGCATTCTCAGTGTTGCTATCATTTTTATTTCTTTTTCTTTCTTTCTTTTTTTTTTTTTTTTTATTACTGTGGATTGAACAAGGAGCACTGTACCATTAAGCTACATCCCTAACACTTATTTATTTTTTGAGACATGGTTTTTCTAAGATGCTGAGAGGCTCACCTTGAACTTGTGATCCTCCTATGCTGGGAGCCATTAGCTAAGTAGGTATGACAATTTCCTTGCCAGCGTACCCCATGTTGCAGTGACATTGAATGTACGTGACCTTGCTCAAGGACCAAGGCAGATTAGGGTGTTCCCGGTTTTAAGATAATCCTGTTTAGGGCGTTCCCAGTTTAGGTTCCAGGTTTAAGGTTTAAGATTATTCCTGCTGGGAATAGGGCGTATCCTGCTGCCTGAGTTCCCCTTGAGTTCTCACGGGATTCAGACAGTATATTTTGGAGATAGAAGCCCAGTGGAGGTGAATTTGGGAGAGAAGGTGGATTTGGGCAGAGAACGTGGATTTCCCCAGAACGTGATTGTAGACGGCTGGTGTGAGTTCGGGAATAAAGAGTTGCTGTTTGAATCTACAAGCTGTGTGGTGGCTCGTGATTGTGTGCCCAGCCAGACTGCGGCATTTGTGCCCAGCCAGACTGTGGCACTCCTACCTCAACCTCCCAAATCACTGAGATTACAGGCATGTGCCACCATGTCCAGCTATATGATTCTTTTTTAATTAAAAACAAATTATAAAAACAGGGCTGGGATTGTGGTTTAGTGCAGAGCACTTGCCTCACACATGTGAAGCACTGGGTTCGATCCTCAGCACTAATTTAAAAATAAATAAACAAAAATAAAGTTATGTGTCCATATATAACTAAAAATATATATATTTTTTAAATGATAAAAACAACATAGAGAAGGTGCCACTGGGGACGCAGCTCAGTGATAGAGTACTTGCCTAGCATATTACTAGACCCTGGGTTTGATCCAGCATCACAAAAAAAACAAAAAATACTATGGTCTGGGCATAGCTCACAATACTGTGGGGGTACCTAACACTCCTGAACTGTACGCTTAAGAACAGTTAATGTGGCGGGGCAGGGCTCAGTGGCAGAGCACTTGCCCAACACGCAGACACCACAAGTACACACAAACAACCTCATGGCGTCACCCTCATCCTGTTCTATCAGTTCTATTACTATTGTCACCGCCCTCCTACATTTCAGTGGCTCCTTCTATTTGTGGAAGTGCCTTGTGAGAATCATTCAGGGATCCCTGTTTGGTTCCCAGGGCTCTTGCATGCATAGAGAAAGGCTGCCTGGCCTTGCGTTGTGGGGAGTCATGAACACGGTGGGGAACAGGAGGCTCTCCAACCCCCCCTAACCCCACTTACCAGTTCCCACAGCGGGAACTTAGCCCTATCTCCCTTTCTTTCATATTTTGCCACTCTGTAGAGTTCAAAAGCCTTGGGAGTAAAGGGCTCCTTTGTTGAAAGAGTGTTTTCAAATTTAAATGAGCATTTATTGGGCAAAGATGGCCCAACCAGTCTTTTGAGAATGGAAGGCTGTTTAGAGGAAAATAGAGCCGCAGTGGAGTGGAGTGGACGGTCTGAGATACTTGTTAGATGCGTGGGAAGGGTCTGGACATAACAGGCCTGGGCTGGAGTTGCTGCCTTCTACCAGCGTAGCTAATACCACTGCTCATCTGTGACCAGCAAGGTGGGGGCGTTGACTGCTTCCTTCTTTCCTTCTCCTTCTTTTTTTCATAATGGACTTGTCATGTCTGATACTCAGGTTAGTACAGTATTCTAGTAGAGTTAGTGTCTGCATTCTTAACATCCTATATTATGTTCTGATTGGTGGGAGGGAGTGAGGGAGGCAACAAGCCAGCAATCTCACATGTTAGAATAGAAAGTCAGCCATCCCTGCCTTGCCGACCTCCTGGGGAAAAGCACTGTGAGGTATAAACATTATGATTAATCCTGTTCTGATCCTGAGAGCAGTGTTCTTTCTGTGGGATCTATTCCTAATACTAAAGGCTTTTGTGAGCCAAGCATGGTGGCACACACCTATAATCCCAGTGGCACGGGAGGCTGAGGCAGGAGGATCCCGAGTTCAAAGCCAGCCTCAGCAACTTAGCAAGACCCTGTCTTAAAATAAAATATAAAAAAGGGCTGGGGATGTGGCTCAGTGCTTAAACACTCCTGGGTTCAATTCCTGGTACAAAAGAAAAACAAAAAAAGACTTTTGCATGTGTGCTGAGGATTGAACCCAAGACCTTGTGCCTGCTAAGGAGGCGCTGTACCACTGGGCTCTATCCCCAGCCCCATGAAGGATTTCTTTATGCTGTGTGTGGTATACTTGTGTACGTGGAAAGCATTGAAATATTATAACATATAAAGATATTATTGCAAAGTGCTAATTTTGTCTTGTTTTATTCATTCTTTCTTCCATCTCCCCTAGAGTGGTGTCTTAACAGTTAAACTGGGTGGAGATCTAGGAACCTATGTGATCAACAAGCAGACCCCAAACAAGCAAATCTGGTTATCATCTCCCTCCAGGTATGTTCAGAAGTTGAAATCTGTACTGGTTTAACTTGCTAGAAATGTGCTGTTGTAGACCATTTAAGAAGGGTCCTCTCAGGTGTATCTGCAGGTGACTCATTCCTGATGTTTACAGCCTGTTCCATCTTCAGTAGCAAAGTTCACTCTAGTGACATAGCTTCTCCCTGCTGATAACTTGTCTACCATCAACAGGCATCAGGATGTTGGCAAGATCTAAAGCAAAAAGTGTATAACTTTTCAGAACCTGAACAAACCTGAACCTCCATTAAATTGTTTGGGGGTACAGTGGTAGAGCATTTGCCTAGCATGCACGAGGCCCTGAGTTCTATCCCTGGCACCATGAAAACTGTTTTTGATATTGCAGCATCTGAGCAAGTTGTACTGTCTTCAAAGCAAATTAAAGTTTGAGCACTAGTCTGTTTTGAGCATCTCAGCTAGGGATCAGCTGAGTAGCTGGGACAGTGTTTTAAGTCACTACTGTAGGGCATTTAATCCCTTCACCAATGTGCTTTCAGTGTAGAGGAATAAAAAACTGTGTTGCAGACAGCCTTCGTCTCAAAGCCTGAGAACATGCAGAGCCTCTGCAGTCCAGCTGCTACTGAAGTGGTTGTAAGAAAAGAAGAGAGAGATGCCCACAGAGCTCTCACACTGACCTTCCTGGTCATTCATTATCACTTCCAAAGAGAACAGATGGAGTGTGAATTGGGAAAGGCCCAAATGAACCAGTGTGGAATTCTTAGAAAGCCTAATGGTATTTGTAATTAAGAAAAAAAAAAAAGTATAGCCAGACACACAGTGGTGCACACCTATAATTCCAGTGACTCAGGAGGTTGAGGCAGGAGAATCATAAGTTCCAGGTCATTCTCAGCAATTTAGCAAGACCCTATCTAAAAATAAAAAACAAAAAGGGCTGGGGATGTAGCTCAGTGGCAAAACATCCCAGGGTTCAATCCCCAGTGCTAAAAAAAAAAAAAAAAAAAATTGTAGGCAAGTACTGGGGTATAGCTCAATGGTAGATAACTTGCCTAGCTTGCATAAGGCCCTGGTTTCAATCCTCAGCATCACATTTAAAAAAAAAAAAAAAAAAAAGAAAAACCCTATTCAGAAACATACTACTGGATAATAATAATTTCCCAGAAATTCCAAGTGGACCTTTTTTTTGCAGTGCTGGGGATCAAGCCTAGGGCTTCTCACACCTGCCAGGTAAGTGCTTTACCACTGAGTCACATCAACAGCCCCACCCAAGTGTACTTTATTAAAAATCTGTAATTCATATGGGATTGGGGCAGGGTTCTGCTGAGCACTCATTACTATCACAGCTACTGAATTCCTCCAAAACATTTCCCTTTTTTTTTAATTTTTCCCCTTTCAGCTCTTCTATTTAGTCCAGAATCTTTTTTTTTAATATTTTTTTTAGTTGTAGTTGGACACAATACTTTTATTTTATTTATTTATTTTTATGTGGTGCCGAGGATTAAACCCAGCGCCTCACATGTTCTAGGCAAGTGCTCGATGGCTAAGTCACAACCCCAGGCCCCAGAATGTCTTTTATAGGGCTGTTTCTGATCTGTTTTTTCAGTTGACAACTTTTCCAGTCCTGTGGAATTGGCAGCCTTTCCTAGCCGCCTTGCCCACCTTGAGGAGGTTGTAGGTTGTAGGGTGGGATAAAGGAGAGGTCTGGGGAACATCTGGGTGTCAGCACCTGAGCTAGGTCAGAGTCCTGGGTGATGTGGAGGGGCATGGATATTACTCACCTTCTACCTGGCTACCTGGTATCAAACTCAGGATACCATACCAATGGAGGTTCTCTGTTGTTCTTCCTTCTTCTTAATGGCCCAGGTGGTTTGTGTTCAGCAGTATGTGCAGAATAAACAAGAGCCCTGTCCATTTTATTTGGTTTTTGTGTGTGGTGCTGAGGATTGTACCCAGGGCATTGTATATCTCATGCATGCTAATAAGCAAATCTATACTATCTCTGAGTTACTTTCCCAGCTTCCCCTCTATCTGTATTCCTGGGCACATGTTCAAACCCCACTATTTGTTTAGCAATACAGAAATTCTTTTTTTTTTTTTTTCCGGTACCAGTGATTGAACCCAGGGGTACTTAACAACTGAGCCACATCCCCCAACCCTTTTTTTCTTTTTTAATTTTGAGACAGAGTCTCACTAAGTTACTTAAGGCCTCCCGAAGTTTCTGAGGCTGGCTTGAACTTATGTTCCTCTTGTCCCAGCCTCCCAAGCTGCTGGGATGATAGGTGTGTGCCACCATGCCCAGCCCCATACAGGAATTATTTTAAAATGTTATAGCTCTAAAAGATGCTTCACATTAGCTTCCTTCCCTGGCCAACTCCTGCCCACCTGTCTTTGGAAAGTTTCCCCTTAGTGACCCAGATGGGCTAACGTGCCCCTGTTCGTGGGTTCCCAGAACCATTTTATTTTGAGACAGGGTCTTTCTCTGAGTTGTCCAGGCTGGCTTGGGACTTTGACATCCTCTTCTATCAGCCTCCTAAATTCCATCAGGATATCCATTGCTGTGTCACCCCATCTACTCAGCCTCCAGGAGATGGAATTTGGGACGCATTGTGTATATCTGATGTAACAAGTCATGGCAAAAACAGCTCAACTTTGGGGCTGGGGATGTGGCTCAAGCGGTAGCGCACTCGCCTGTCATGCGTGCGGCCCGGGTTCGATCCTCAGCACCACATACAAACAAAGATGTTGTGTCCACCGAGAACTAAAAAAATAAATAAATATTTTTAAAAAAAAAGTATTAGAAAAAAAAAAAAAAACAGCTCAACTTTGTGTACATGAATAAGGTGGATTAGTCACCTTCACATGACCACAAAGAAATACCTAAGGTGACTAACTTGTAGAGAGAAGAGTGTTATTTAGCTCACAGTTTTGGAGATTCAAAGCTAGGGATGACTCAGTGGTAGAGCGCGTATGTAGCATGCTTGAAGTCCAGGTCCAATCATCAGCACTGCCAAAAAAGGAAAAGAAAACAAAGGTCAAGATTGGGTGGCTGACGGTAATGGAAGGAGACCCTCAGGGTTATACAGTGGAGGGGGTAGAGAGAGAGGAGGGGAGGGGAGGGGAGAGGTGGGGAGGGGGGAGGGTGGATGATGGGAAAGGCAGCGGAGCACAACAGACACTAGTATGGCAATTTGTAAATCAATGGATGTGTAACTGATGTGAATCTGCAATCTGTGTATGGGGTGAAGGTGGGAGTTCATAACCCACTTGAATCAAAGTGTGGAATATGATATGTCAAGAAATTTGTAATGTTTTGAACAACCAACAATAAAAAATTAAAAAAAAAAAAAAAAAGATTGGGTGGCTGAGGGTAGGGAGGATCCTTGGTTTGGCCTCCAATGAGGGTAATACCTCAAGGTGGGAGCACATGTAGGATCAGTCACATCTCAAGCCAGGAAGCAGAGAGATTAGGTGAGAGTCCCACAGTCCCTTTAAGAGGCATGTCCCCATGGCCTAAGGACCCTTCCCTTGGGTCTTCCTCCTTTTTTTTTTTTTTTTGGTACTGGGAATTGAACCCAGGGACACTTTGTCACTAGCTATGTCCCCAGACCTTTTTATTTTACTTTTATTTTGACACTAAGCTGCAAGGATGTCACTAAATTGTTAAGCCTGGCCTTGAACTTTCAATCCTTTGGCCTCTGCCTGCTGAGTTGGTGGGCTTGCAGGTGTGAACCACGTGTCCAGCTAGGCTCTTCCTCTTCAAGATCCACAGCACCTCCCAGTACCCCACCCTGGGGACCACACATTCACATACAGACTTTTGGAGGAATACTCGTATAATACAGTCTTCCCCAAGTGAAGTTCATGTGCCATTTTTTTCAGTAAATGAGCCCAAGTGGATGAACTAGCCAGTCAAGCACTCAGTTGCAAGGATGTAAAATTTGATTAAGAAAAATGGTTTTTTAGCCAGGCCTGGTAGTGCACACCTGTAAGCTCAGCAATTTAGGAGGCTGATAGAAGAGGATGGCAAAGTCCCAAGCTAACCTGGACAACTTGGGGAAAGATCCTGTCTCAAAATTAAAAAAAGAACAAGAGCTGGGGATGTAGCTCAGTGGTAGAGTGCCCCTGGATTTAATTCTTAGTACCAAAAAAAATTTTTTTTTTTTAAATACTGGATGTAATGGCACATGCCTATAATCCCAGGGATTTGGAAAGGTGAGGCAGGATGATCACAAATTCAAAGCCAACCTCAGCAATTTCCCTAAGCAATAATAATAATTAATAATAGTGCAAGCAAGGCACAAATCATGTCAGTGACACAAAATGGCCATGATTTTTATAAGCACTGCTCTAAGATAGCAAGTACCATTAGTGTGGTAAGCAAAGTCAGAACCGGATGCCTGGAGACTGACAGATAAGAGCCAAATGTTTTCAGGTCTTGAGAACTTTTCTGTGAAATGTTCCAGAAGATGGGTTGTGTGATTATTCTAACTTTTGTATTTTGATTGGTTGATTTTGGTACTAGAGATTGAGCCCAGGGGTGCTCTACCACTGAGCTACATCTCCAGTTCTTTTTTTCTTTTTTCTTTTTTGAAACAGGATCTTGGTAAATTGCTAATGCTGACCTCAAACTTGACATCCTCCTGCCTCAGCCTCCAAGTCACTAGGATTTATAGGCATGCACCACTGCCCCCCACTTATAATTATTCTTAAATAGAAAGACACTAAGTCAAGAAATCAAATATATGGCATGAGGGATATAGCTCAGTGGTAGAATGCCTGTTTAGCCAAGACCCTGGGTTCCATCCATAGTATTGGGGAAAAAAAAAAAAAAAGAAATCAAATATGTGCCTCACTTGTATACTCTGGGGAGTATCTTGGTGGCAGTCTTTGTGGTATCTGAGTACTGGTCAGCATATTTTTAGTCTCTGTGGCAAAATACCGAAGGTGATCAATTGAAAAGAAGCAGTTTCAGTCCACAGTTGCTTGGCCCTATCACATCAGGCCTGTGGTGAGCCCAGCACCATTCTGGGAGCACACGGTAGAAGAGGCCACCCACCCCATGGTGGCTGGAAGCAAAGAAAGAGAAGATCAGGGTTCCAACATCCCCTTGGAGAGCACCCTCAGGGACCTGACCTCTTCCTCTAGCCCCCTCCCACATGTTCCATCGCCTCCCTGTGGCACTGTGGGCTGGCCACCAATCCTTTAACACCACCCTTCAAGGCACATCTCTGATCCCAAACAAAACTTAGTGCTTCTCCTAGAGCATCCCATGGACTTCCCGTGTGTTTGTTTTATCTTCCAGTGGACCCAAGCGCTACGACTGGACTGGGAAAAGCTGGGTGTACTCCCACGATGGTGTGTCCCTCCACGAGCTGCTGGCCACAGAGCTGACTAAAGCCTTAAAAACTGAACTGGACTTGTCTTCCTTGGTCTATTCTGGAAAAGGCACTTGAATGGCTGCCCTCTCATAAAGACATTAACAGCTGTCAGGCCAAGACCCCAGCTTCCTTCTGCAGCTGAGTGCGGGTTGTCTTTGTTTTTTGTTTTGTTTTCCATTCCTACTTTTGAAGACAACTCTGAAAAGAAGGTGTCACCTCCCACCCTGCCTGCAGGATCTGATTTAATTTCTATAGTTTATTTGGATTGATTGTCTGATTTCCTGCTTCACATGATACCCCTTATCTCTTTTAATGTCTTATACCCATACCTTAATATAATAATGACTTTACAAAAAGAAAAATAATAAGAAGGAAAAATTCCCTGGGGAAATGACTGGTCCTCATTTTCATTCTTTGAAGGATTTACAGCAAAAGCTACATGAAGAGCAGCTGGCTCATCACGCCATTTCATCCAAAATCGAGGCTCATTAAAAAGTAGTTTATAAATGTCCCCAGGCCTAGGTGTACACACTTCTGAGCCCTTTAGCAGGCAAAAGAAAGTGTCCAGAAACAAACTGGAGGGGAAAAAATCTGACCCAAAGCTATGTTCATGTTCTATTATTTTTTTACCTCGGAAAGGTTTAGGGCTAGGGGTGTAGCTCCCTGACAGAACACTTGCACATCATGCCCAAGGCCCTGGGTTCAATCCCGAGCACTATTTTTTTTTTTTTTTTAGCGTATTAGTGAGAATTCTATGTAAATGTGTAGTGAAGGCTTTTGCAATGAGTGAACCAGATACACCTTCTATTACAGGAAAAAAACGGAACAATAGAACAATATAAACAAATGCTAAGTGGTTATTTATTTCCTTTCTTCAGAAAGAAAAATTTTTTTAGTCTGGAAATTTTTGAAAGCAGTAGGTCAATGCTAGAGAGACAATAAATAAAACCGTGCATGCATGTGTATGTTTATGTTTATCATCTTTTATTTATTTATGTATTTTGTACAGAGATTGAACCCAGAGGGGCTGTACCACTGAGCTACATCCCCAGAACTTTCTATTTTTCAATTTTTAAGACAGCCTGAACTTGTGACCCTCTTGTGACCCTCCTGTGATCCTCCTGCCTTACCCTTCTAAACTAAGCAGAGGGAATTACAGGAGCACACCCCACCACACCCAGCTCTATTGTCTCACTTCTAATGAAAGTTTCCTTTACCTCACAGGCTTAGAATTCAGTGACTAGTGCACTTCTCCATCTGGGATGCAGCATGAACTTAGGTGTGCAATGAGACTGCTGTGATGTGGAAGTGGAAGGTAGGGAACCTGCTATTATGGGCTGGTAGGGGCAGGCCAGCCCATCAGGCCTGTTTACTCTTACTTTACATACAGTGCTAACTGGTGCAGTGCCAGATCCCCATTTAAGGAAGAAAAAGGACTTGAAGCATATGAACTGCAGATGAAGGAAGAATCAAAGTTATATTCTGAGATACCAAGTGGAAAAGAGCAGTGTGAGTCAAGAGCCCCTGCACCACAGACCTGAGAGCATCACCTCACTAATGGTATTGTCTAGTCGCCACGATGAGGAGGAGTTTCAACAGAGGGCTGCTCAATGTTCAGTATAATGTATTGAAGGAGGCAGGAAATGCAAAATATGATTTTAGAATGCTTTTTTTTGTTGTTGTTGTTGTTGTTTTGGTACTGGGGATTGAACCCAGATGTTTAACTATTGAGCCACATCCCCAGCCTTTTTTATTTTTTATGTAGAGACAGGATATCACTAAGTTGCTGAGGCTGTCTTGGAACTTGGGATCCTCCTGCCTTGGCCTCCTGTGCTGCTGGGATTACAGGCATGTGTCACCACACCCAGCCAAGCCTTTTTTAATGAGAAGTTTTTTACATCTAATTTAAACTGCTACTTACTTGCTTTTATTTATTTATTTAATATTATTATTTCTCTGTGTGTGGTACTGGAGATTGAATCCAGATGTGCTCTAACACTGAGCAACGTGTACCCCAGCTCTTTTTACTTTTTTATTTATTTTTGGGGGATGTGTACTGGGGACTGAACTCAGGGGCACTCGACCACTGAGCCACATCCCCAGCCCTATTTTGTATTTTATTTAGAGACAGGGTCTCACCGATTTGCTTAGCACCTCCTATTACTGAGGCTGGTTTTGAACTGGCTATGCTCCTGCCTCAGCCTCCCGAGCTCTGGTATTACAGGCGTGTGCCACCACGCCCGGCTTTTTATTTTTTATTTTATGACAGGTTCTCACTAAGTTGCCCAGATGAGCCTGGAATGTGTGATCCTCCTGCATCAGTCTTCCTCCCAAGTAGCTGGGATTACAGGTTTGTGCCACCATCCCTAGCTTTTAGTTGCTTATCACTAACTTCAGTGTTCTTATCTGTAAAATGGGGATATGCAGCATGCTGCGGCGTGTGGGCCCACAGGTAAAGCACAATCCCAACATGAGGGTCCTCAATACATTACAGCTTCTGTTCTCATGTGCACAGCATAAGCATAATTTCATATTCAAATTGGGGGCTCCCCTCCATTGAGTAGACAAAGTCTACTCAACCTTGTCCTTGGTCAGAATTCTTATTTTGCTTACCATGTGATAGATTTTGATTCCCTAAATAATTTCTCTTCTGTCCCACTATGCTTTTATTCTATTCCATCTTCTGTATCTGCTCTAGAAATATTTTAGCCAACTTTAAGTTCAATAGTTTGCATTAAGAAAAAGTTTTAAACATGTTTTCTTCAGCTATACCTGCCCCAAATTCAGATAAACTCTATGCAATCCCAAAAGACCCAGGTTCATAATGATGAGGTTTGTATGAATTGACTATTTAAGTTTGCCAAGGAAAACTAGCTTCCTTCTTCCAAGGTTCACATAAAGATTAAAGCAATGTTGGTTCGTGTGCAGTCGAGTTCTTGGCACAGATTTATCTTTTGCAAACTGACAGCAGAAAGGGGAAGGAGGATAAAGTTATGAAACTCCATGTAAACTTATCCCGCTTTTCTAAACACCTTCATAACTGTCTTTCTTTGTATAAAGAAATGCCTTCAGATCCTCGACATGATTTAAAGAGCCATGATACTTGTAGTCCATCCTAAGGTTCCAGTGAACAGTCCCTCTGGGGTGTGTAAAACAGCTCACTTAAACCCTGTGTCTGCTGGAGACAGAATCCAAGCTCAAATATTCTGTCTGCCCTGACTGAATTGTTTAAGAAACAGAACGCACCCAAAGAGATTTATTGGACTGTTTATTAACTGAAGATTTATTTAGACTGTTGGAAAACACCTGCAACCAGCAGCAAAATCGACTCCCAGAGAAGTGTGAAGAGCAGTCAGACTCTGTGAGGGTAACACTCTACATCCAAGGGTTACGCTGGTACAGGATGGACCTCTTCTGCCACCGTGTTTCTGTGATCTGTGGGGACACTGAATAATGCCACTTTTTTTTTTTTTTTTTTTGGTACTGGGGATTGAACCAGAGGTGCTTTACCACTGAGCTACATTTCTAACTTTTTTTTTTTTTAATTTTTAGTTATATATGATAGTATAATGTATTTTGGCAGAATATACATACATGAAGTATAACTTATTCAATTTAGGTCCCCACTTTTGTTGTTGTACATGATGTGGAGTTTCCCTGGTCATGTATTCAAATACAAGGCTAGCAAAGTTATGACCAATTAACTCTACTGTCCTTCCTATTCTCCTCCCTGCTCCCTTCCCTTCATTTGTTTCCCTATGTCTAATCCAATGAACTTCTATTCTTCCCCTCCCCACCCTCCCTTGTTCTGAGTTAGCATCCACAAATCAGAGAGAACATTTGGCCTTTGGTATTGGGGGATTGGCTTATTTCACTTAGCATGATATTCTCTCTTTTTTTTTTTTTTTTTTTTTTTTTTTGGAACTGGGGGTCAAATCCCCGGCTCTGCGAATGCAAGGCAGATGTTTTGCCACTGAGCTACATCCCAGCCCTAGCATGATATTCTCTAGTTCCATCCATTTACTGGCAAATGCCATAATTTCATTCTTCTTTATGGCTGAGTCCATTATGTGTATATACCACATTTTCTTTATCCATTCATTTGTTAAAGGATGCCTTGGTTTTTTCCATAGCTTGGCTACTGTAAATTGAGCTGCTATAAACATTGATGTGGCTATATCACTGTAGTATGCTATGTTTAAGTCCTTTGGGTATAGAGAGGAATGGGATAACTGGGTCAAATAGTGGTTCCATTTCAGGTTTTCTAAGGAATTGCCATACTGCTTTCCATAGTGATTACACCAATTTGCTGTCCCACCAACAATGTATGAGAGTGTCTTTCTCCCCACATCCTCCCCAATATTGATTGTTACTTGTATTCTTTATAGCTGCCTGTAATGGTTTGGATGTGTTAGACAATGCAAGAAGGTTCAGAGGAGAAATGATTGGGTTATGAGAGTCTTAATCCCATCAGTGAATTAATCCCCTGATTGGGATTAACTGAGAGGTAACTGAAGTGGTAAGGTATAGCCAGAGGAGGGGGGCATTGGGTGTGGCTTTGGGGCATGTATTTGTATCTGGCAAATGGAGTCTCTCTGCTTCCTGAGGGCAATGTGAACTGTTTCTGCCACACTCCTCCACCACAATGTCCTGCCTCACTGAGGTGGAGCTGGCCTTCTATGGACTAAGACCTCTGATAACACGAGTCCTCAAATAAACTTTTCCTCCTCTACAATTGTTTGGTCAGAACTTTTAGTCATAGCAGCAAAAAAGCTGACTAAAACACTGCCATTCTGACCCGAGTACCCAACCCTTTTTATTTTTTATTTTGAGACAGAGTCTCACTAAGTTGCTAAGACCCACACTAAGTTACTGAGGCTAGTCTCAAACTTGCGATCCTCCTGCCTCAGCCTCCCTAGTTACAGGATTACAGGGGTGTGCCATTGTGCCCAGCATCACATTTTTTTTTTCTTTCAAAAGATTTATTTGTGGGCTGGGGTTATGGCTCAGTGGTAGAGTGCTCACCTAGCACGTGTGAGGCCCTGGGTTCGATCCTCAGCATCACACAAAAATAAATAAAATAAATGTATAAAAAACAAAGATTTATTTTCTACAGAATTGTGTAAGTTCACTAATGAGCTGAACTCAGGACTTCTATATTTAAAAAGATTTCGCTCACTGCTTGATTACTGCAAGAGCTGAAATATTTAAAAAGCAGGGTTTTTGTTGTTTTGTTCTTACCAGCTTTGGCATGTCTAGAAAATTTTAGAAAAAAGTTAGACTCTATAGAATTAGATGTCTAAAAATAAGGGGAAAGAGCGGGGTGCAGTGGTGCATGCCAGTAATCCTGGCAGCTCAGGAGGCTAAGGAAGGAGGATCCCGGGTTCTAAGCCAGACTCAGCAAAGGTGAGGTGCTAAACCATTCAGTGAGACCTTGTCTCTAAATAAAATACAAAATAGGACTAGGGATGTGGCTCTGTGTTCAAGTGCCCTTGAATTCAACCCCCAGTACCCCCCCGAAAAAAGAAACATTTCAAATTCCCCATTTGTGCAGGTCCCGAGCTGAGATCACATTTATCTGCATGCACAGTGTTCTAAGTCAGAAATGCAGTGGTTTATAACAAAGAGCCTGAACTTGAACTTGATTGGTAAATATTTTCAGGCACTGTATGAAAGACAGGATGTGTGCCATTCACTTGGCTAATTTTGGCCTTTGTCCTACTTGGCTTGAGAATTTTTCTTGTTTCTTTTCTTTCTTTCTTTTTTCTTTTCTTCCTTTCTTTCTTTCTTCCTTTCTTCCTTTCTTCCTTTCTTCCTTTCTTCCTTTCTTTCTTTCTTTCTTTTGTACCAAAGATCGAACCCAGGACCTCTTAATGACTAAGCCACATCCCCAGCCCTTTAATATTTTATATTTTATTTAGAGACAGGATCTCACTAAGTTGCTAAAGCTGGCTTTGAACTCAGGATCCTCCTGCCTCAGCCTCCTGGGATTAAAGCTGTGCCCCACCACACTCTGCTTGGCTTGTGAAATTTTTATAAATATCTCTTAAACCCAAACCTCCAGGTTTTCAAAAACCAATCTTCTCATTCTGGTTCACAATAATTTTAAAAACAAAAACTTTCACTGCAAGATCACACACTTATGTATTTGCTGCCTGTGGACAGATACAGAGAAACCAAGTACCAATATGTATCAACAGTTCATCACTGCAGCGGCGCAGTTCGGGGTGGCTGTCCCTCCCCGGCTCTGCACTTGCTATGCCCCAGGGATGTCCATACAGGCAACATCACCCTAAAGACGATGTGAACCCCAATAGCCACGGGTGGGGGTAACATCCGCTCACCAGCCTCTAGCTCTAGGACCAGCTTTGTTTTTCATCCAAGCAATGTGCTGATCACGTTTCACCCTCCTAAGCACAGAGACCACTTAATAGCTGCAAACTGGTTCACAGAGGATCTCTCAGGGCCTCTGGTGTCTCTCTTCAGCTCTTTTGGGTAGGTGAAAAGCACTTTGGGGAGGGGGGACATCTGAGACGCTGAAACCAGATCCAGTGACAGAACTTCCGTTGACCCATCCAGCTGAGAGGGAACATGAAGAGGCAGGCTTCTCTCTAGTGGCACTGGCACTGCCCTCAGGGACTTTGGCACCTTCCCCTCTGGCCCTGTCCTCAGGCCAGCCAGAGCTGCATGATTACAACTCTGCACAGGATGGTGTGCTCCGAAGTGCCCCATCGTTACCTCAAAGTTTTGAGCTTCCATTTCTGCCATCTTAAGTGTGTGTGTGTGTGTGTGTGTATCCCCCATACTTTTTCTACCCCTATCTGTAATGTTAGTTGAGGTTTTTTCCCAAAAGGAAGTGACTTAAATAAACCCAAAGAAATAAAAAGTAAAATCTCCAAGTTTCAAAAGTAATAGAAAAAGTAATAGGTAAGTTTAGAATCAGGATTGCTAGGTAAGTATGCCCAAGCCATGCACTGCACAACTCAAAGTGCAACTATCCAGAGGACTGACAATAGCTATAATGTGATGTGAATGATGCCACCAACATCTATGCAAACTGTCCAGCATGCACATGAATTCATGTATGAATGACAGCATATGTGCCATTCTTGGTACTTCATCAGCAATCTCCTCAAGTATTTCACCAAACAGCCCTCAAATTAACCATTGGCAATAGAGGGCCTCATCATTTCTCACCTATATTACTGCAAAAGCTTACTTTTTTTTTTTTTTTTGTGTGTGTGTGTGTGGCACTGGGGATTGAACACAGGGACTTGTGCATATGAGGCAAGCACTCTAACAACTGAGCTATATCCCCAGCCCTTAAGATAGGGTCCTGCTAAGTTGCTGAGCCTGGCCTCAAACTTGGAATCCTCCTGCTTCAGCCTCCTAAATAGCTAGGAGTATCCCCACCACGCCCAGCTGCAGAAGCTTTCTTGCCTCCATCTTCCCTTTCCCTCAGCCCATCATCCAGAGCAGATTTTCAAAAGGGCAAATATTTTCTCTTGTCTAAAATCTTAGAGGGACCAGGTCAGACAGGACCAAGTCCAAGCAAGAAGAGTGAGCTCTTCTGACCTGAGTCTGCCCAGACACTGCAGTACAATTACACTCTTCTCCCCGCTCATATTCTGCATTTTGGCTCCAACAGTCCCACATCCCCCAGATCCCTAAATTGCTGGGCTATTTCATGTGGCTTTGAGACTTGGCCAGTGTTGTTTCCATGTTTTGTTCCTTATGCCCCACTTTTCTGCTAGTATCATGTTTAGTTTACTCTGAAAAACATTCTCAAGAGAGCCTTGCTGGCCCCTGCTCCACTTGTTATGGGGTGGACCAATCCTGCCCTGGGTAAAAGGCTAGGCTATAATGCTCGCTGCCCCAGAAATATGTGGAATCAAATTGGTAGGAAAATAGGTTTTATTCAAAGACAGCTTTGAAGGAAGTTAGAAAAAACTTTAGAGTTTCAGAAGTTCCATTTTCACTTAACCTAATTTTTTTTTTTTTCTGAACACTTTACCCTTTGAACTACATCTTCTTGGGATTTGGGTTTTGCAGGATTGTTGAAATTCTGCTTTAAAGAGTAAGTGTAAGGGGCTGGGGTTGTGGTTCAGTGATGGAGTAGTTACCTAGCATGCAAGAGGCTCTGGGTTCAATCCTTAGCACCACATAAAAATAAATATAGGCATTGTGTTCATCTACAAATAAAAGTATTTTTTTAAAAAAGAGTGTTAGAAGGCTGGGGATGTGGCTCAAGCAGTAGCACACTCGCCTGGCATGCGTGCAGCCCGGGTTCGATCCTCAGCACCACATACAAAAAAACAAAGATGTTGTGTCCGCCGATAACTAAAAAATAAATATTAAAATTCTCTCTCTGTCTCTCTCTCTCTCCCTCTCTCACTCTCTCTTAAAAAAAAAAAAGTGTTAGAACTCCTTCTGTAAGGGTAAAAGAAATTGAAGTTAAAGCGTAAAAGTTGAAGGGTAAAAGACCGGGTGTTGTAAAGTTTCTAAGCTACAAGGTCTGAGTTAAAATGTAAAGAATTAGGTATTGTTAGGTTTCTATGTAACCTGCAAAACCTGAAATCCCTGTAGCTTTTAGGACAATACTGGAATTGCCCAGTAAATATTCCCACTGACTCCCTGGTTGTCCAATAACTAGGGACTCTGTGTAACTGGTCACGTAGTCCTCTAGGCCCTAAAACCAATCAGTTTGAATGTGTACCCCGTTTAGAAATGACCTATCACTCCAGCCTGACCTGTTCCCGCCAATGAATGAACTAATCATGTTTAGGGGTTGTTGTTTGATTTTCCCGCGGTGTATAATGATTTGTTAAAGGAGACTGTGATGTATGTAAAACCCCCGCCCTCCCAAAAAAAGTGTACTTAAGCAGTGCTCAGTCCCTGCTCGGGGCTCTGAGCTGTTTTCCCTTCTTGAGTGGGCACGGAGCCCCAGCATGCTGGTTCAATAAATCCCCTTCTGCCAATTGCATGAGTGGTCACTTGGTGGTCTCTTTCTCCGACGTTTCGCGGGACCCTTACACTTCGGTGGTTACAATGGAGCCAGCTCATACCAGCTACTGTGCATGTCTTCCCAGCTCTGCATTCAGGGACAGCACATTGGAAGCTTAAAGTCAGCCATCATGCCAGGTGTCACAGTGTACACCTGTAATCCCAGCTGCTTGGGAGGCTGAGGCAGGAAAATCACAAGTTAAAGCCAGCCTCAGCAACTTAGCAAGGCCCTAAGCATCTCAGCAAGTTCCTGTCGCTAAATAAAATATTTTATAAAAGGGCTGGGGATGTGGCTCAGTGCTTAAGCGCCACTGGGTTCAATCCCCAGTACAAAAAAACAATACACCACAGACATTAGCAAATGCTATAAATTAGGGTTTGATTTTGCTTATTCTGGAGACCTAGTTGTTAAATTTTCTCCAAAATAAAACCACATTTTAAACTATATTAAAAATGTTTCCATTTTCAAAATCTCTGAAGATGAAAAAAGCTTTCAGTGATGAGGCAAGCTAGGGTACTTGCCTAGCATGTGCAAAGCCATGGGTTCAATCCCCAGAACTTCAGAGAGAGAGAGAGAAGAGACAAGAAATATACAGACAGGTCTGGGGAGGGGGATACGCTTCCTTGACTTCTGTCAGCCTATGGGGAGACCAGCCCCTCAGCTTCCCTCTCAGCATGAGGAAGTTTCTCTCAATTTCAGGGGGTTTCACACGCAGTGTCTACCTGGACACCTGTGATTGTTCCATATTCTCAGCACCTGGCAGCTGGTCTTTCCATCACCCATTACAATGGAATTGACTAGTGAACCATTCATTCATTCCTTCTGCAGGGTATTTGCTCCATGAGGACAGGGCTGTGTCTCCCTTGTTTACTGCTGAAGCCTCAGAAGCTAGCACAGGTCTTTACATACAGTTAAGAACTCCCAAAACATCAAGTGAATGTGTTCTAATTATTATTATTATTATTATTTTTAACCAGTGTTATCCAAATAAACGTCAAATAGACCTAACTCCAAAGACGTTAGCAAGAGTGCTGGGAATGTAGCTCAGTGGCAGAATGCTTGCCTAGCATACACAGGACCGTCCCTGGGTTCAATCCCCAGCAACACAACAACAACAAAAAAAATATTAGCAAGAAATACACATTTTAGATGTGTGCAGTGGATTACACCTGTGATAATCCCAAGCCAGCTACTCCAGAGCAGAGGCAGGATGTGAGATGGGGATTTAAGATAGAGGGATATAGGGCTGGGGCTGTAGCTCAGTGGTAAAGTACTTGCCTAGCACATGTGAGGCCCTGGGTTTGATCCCCAGAAATACATATAAATAAATAAGTGGAATTAAAATGTTGTGAAAAAATCTTTTTTTAAATTTTTTATTCTAATTTGTTATATATGACTGTGGAATGTATTACAATTCATATTGCACATATATAGCACAATTTTTCATATCTCTGGTTGTATACAAAGTATATTCAGACCAATTCGTGTCTTCTACATGTACTTTGGATAATGATGTCCAGCTCATTCCAAAAAAAAAATGATAGCTGTACCCAGGAAACACCCAGGAGCCATTGAGATGCATAAAGCACTGTCATCATTTTTTTTTTTTTTCTTGGTACTGGGGATTGAACTCAGGGGCACTCACCTCCCAGGCCTATTTTTTGCTTTATTTAGAGACAGTGTCTCACTTAGTTGCTTAGTGCCTCTACTTTTGCTGCGGGCTTTTGAGTTCTTGATCCTCCTGCCTCAGCCTCCCAAGGCGCTGGGGTTACAGGCTTGCGCCACTGTGCCCAGCTCACAGTTGTAAATCTCGAGCAACATGCCCTTGACCCATTGTAAAGTGAGGGAAGTGTGCAAGCAAAGAGGAAACTAGAGCACAACTGTGTAGCTCCATGCTGCCTCAGCCTCTTGTCCAGCCCCCAGCACCTGCCCTATATAAACATTAACACCTCACAACAATGGGTTACTGTCTCTCCCTCTGGTGACACCTCCCTTGAATGTGAATTCCTTGTTTTGCCCTAAGGGTGTCTCTCTTTTGAGATTGCCCCCCAAGTTTGGTTGTTGTTGTTTGGTTGGTTGGTTGGTTTTTTTTTTTGGTACTGGGTATTGAACCCAGGGTATTGTGTGCTCTACCTCTGAGCCATATCCCCAGCCCTTTTTTATTTTATTTTTGAGACAGGATCTAAATTGCTGAGGCTGGCCTTGAATTTGGGATTCTCCCCTTTCAATCTCCCCAGGCACAACCTCCCCTGGCTCCCCCAGCACTAGAGTTCAAAGTGTCCTACCAAGCAGTGACGGTGATACAGGACTGTCATCCCAGAGATGCAATAGGCTAAGGAACCTCTCTCCATTTGGGCTTCCCACTTTTTGTTTTCACCCAATTTTGTGCATTTCTTGCAGGGTGTTGCCTCCTCCAGATCCAATAGCCATCCTTTTGTTATCCTAGAAACTGAGGCAATGCCAAGACCCTCCCCTTCAAACCCCGATTCTTGCAACCAAGTCAGACACGTCAACAGACATGAGCTTATTGAAAGGATAGGGAAAAGGGAAGGGGACACTCTCAAAGAAGACAGTGGGTCCTCTCAGAGAGGAGAGGGATGGCGTACCTCTCCTGCACTCCAGTTGTATTGGGGACCCACAAAAGCTTCCAGAGAGTCCCCCCCAGGACCACCTCTTAACTTTTGACTGACAGAAAGGTGACATCAGATTTCAAGTCCCCACTGTCAGGGCAACTCTAGGTCACCTTGACTCATGCTGATAGGTTCTAGTTAGATTCTTTTTTTTTTCTTTTCTTTTCTTTTTTTTCTTTTTTTTTTTTTTTTTGGCACTGGGGATTGAACCCAGGGGTGCTTCACTGAGCCACATCCCCAGCCCTTTTTTATACTTTATTTAGAGACAGGGTCTCACCTAGTTGCTAAGTGCCTCACTAATCTGCTGAGGCTGGCTTTGAACCCTGGATCCTCCTGCCTAAGCCTCCTGAGCCTCTGGGATTATCTAATTGGATTGTTAACCATATATTCTTACAGATTTTATGGTTAGGAGGAACTATCCTTATCTCCCAGAGTTTCAGGTTCTGGTCACAAAAGTTTCTCCTAGGTTCCTCCCATTGACTTTATCTTGGGTCTGTATTTCTCCTGCAGGTAGTTTGCTGAAGAATGTGACCTATCCTGTCCACTGAGGCCAGGCAGGGCTGTAGGTAAATAGCTTCTTGGAAAAGAAAGTATGTGAGGGTCAGCACAGTGGGCTCATTTTATAGAATTATTCTCTTAACCTCATGTTCCCACCATTCACGTCTATCTGTCCCCTAACACTTTAAAATCCAATGGGACACTTCTGTGTGAAACAGGGGGTGGAGAAAGGAGAAAGAGACTCAGCCTTCTGCCCTTTTTTGCCCCCCCCCCCAAGGCACTGACTGTAGTATCTTAACTAGGTGTGTGCCCAGCCCTGGGAGAGGGGAGGGAGGAGAACACCGCCTCCTGCTTGGGTGGGTCAGGGGTCTGTATGTACCAGGAATCTGCTCTGAAGATGCTTCCATGAGGGGTCCCTGCCTCACTATCCTCACAGTTTTGTGAAAGCAAGAACAGCCCTAGTGGGGTCTTTCAGGTTTGTTTGGTTTTGGTACCAGAAATTTAACCCAGGTGTACTTTACCACTGAGCTACAGTATCTCAGCCCTTTTTATTTTTATTTTGAGACAGGGTCTTACTAAATTGCTGAGAGCCTCACTAAGCTGCTGAGTCTGACCTCAAACTCAAATCATCCTGCCTCAGCCTCCTGAGCTGCTGGGATTACAGGTAGGCACCACCATACCTGACACCCTTAGAGTTTTAAACAATGTTTAAAAGAATTTTCTCTGTATCACTCTATGACCCAAGATAAAAAGTGTAAGTGATACAAAAAGGTAGAAAATCAATGAGGTCCCAGGAGTGTTGTTTAACCCTTCAAACGTCTGAACTAACAAATGTGAGGCTATAGGAACATCTGCATCTTTGACCCAATCCACAGATGATACTTATGTAAATTAAACTTTGAGAACTGCTGCAGGAGGCAGCCAAGAGCCCCAGAGATGCAAAAAGGGGATGTTTGAAAACCAAAAGAGTAGTGTGAATCCTTCCTTTTCCAGGGAAAATCAGGACCTTTCCTTTCTCAGGAATGATTAGGGTAATTATTTCTTGGAGCTAGTAGAAGTTGGAAGGAAGTGGACTGGACTGGAGATGGGCGTTATTAATATCCACTGCTCTGCCCAGAGAATGGCACTGGGATCCAAGAAACTTGACCTCAGGGAGCCTGGGCAGGCATCTCCCCTGTCCTGCCCTAGGGTGCTGTCAGTGAAGGACAAGGCGACCTGAAAAGAGAGAGAATTCCAAAGGCAGCTGGAAAAGGAGGGAAATCCCCAGGGGGTTGGGAAGCAGGTTTACCCAGGGAAGGACACAGACTCCCAGTGGAGAGCACCCTGGCTGCATTTGGCTGCAATCCTATAAACATTCCTTGCTAAGATCAGATACAAGCATGTGGAAGAGTAGCCAATAAAAAAAAAAAGTATTAATAATCATGAGTGTCAGTGGTGTTGAAATTTTTCTGGAATTCTTTCTGAAGCTGCCTAATGCACAGAGAAGGAAAATAACAGTGTTTAGTAGATATAAATTACAGGATTAGTGCAAGTAGCTGTCAAGATGATGAGCCAGAGCTTGTAAATGGGTTTTGTTTGGATCTTCCAAAATTGATGTTTGTGTGGTGTGTGTGGTTAATTTCATGACTTTTTAACCTCTGGCTCCTCCTGATTTAAAAAAAAAAAAAAAAAAAAACTACTTAAAAAATGGTAGGAAGTGACCCACACCCTTGACAGATCTGTTTTTATGTTAAAGAATTGGCTTGGTAATTTTAATCAAGACAAGGAAACTGTTAAGCACTGTATTTTTGTCTTTTTAAAAATAATTAGTTTATTCCACCAACTTTTTTTTTTTTTTGGACCAGGGATTGA